ATCTACCATCTTTCTGTTAAGTTTTCTATTTGCCTCCAGTCCTTCATTCTCCCTTTTCTTTATCAGTGAAGACTAAGAATCTTCATTTCATCGTCTCTGTTGATTTTTTAACCTATAAACTTGTATTATTTTTTTGTGGCACAGATCCTTAATTGATTAAGGTAGCCTACCTTATTTCCCTTCACAAATAATGCAAAAATGTATACCTGTATCTCAATTTATTCTCTAATCTCTTCCCTTTTTAAAAGACTTATTTATGCATACAAAACTGGCGTACAGGCCAGAGGTGCAGGGGCAGTGAGAGGATTCACCAGAGTCAGAGTGGGGAGCAGAGTAGGCAGACTGACAAAATACACTGCTGAGGGGAGCAGCGGGTGAAACAAGAGAGGTCTGCCGCACTATGTGGGTCACCTCCGGGATGGGGATTGAACTTGTACTGAAGCGGCTGTGGCTAGCTTGCAGTACTGTGTCCTAACCAACTGAGCCACCAGGGAGTGCCTTCTATCATCCCTCTTCCCTTTGTCATTTATTTTATTTCATGTTATTTCTGTCTATATTTATCAGTAAGCATCTACCATGAGAGGTTGTCAAGTTATTTTTTATGTTCACGTTCTCATGTAAGTTGCTGATATACACAGATACATGAACATGTACATACATTTTAAACTTCAGCACCTACCTCAGAAGCCTGTAATGTTTTGCTGATGAAGCTTTATAGATGTCAGAGCAGAATAAAGTGGAAAGGAGTCAATCATAGCACCTTACTCCTCTTTTTCATGAATTCTTTGGCATAGACTGCTACCCTTTTCCCCATCTTTCTTTATAAATCTTTGAGTGTTCTTACAAAACCACCCTGTTTAAAAAACAAAACAAAAAAAAAACCTAAAGCTTTACCAAGAAAAATAACTCCCCTTTCAGCTTCAAGGATATACTGTAAATGTATCAGTTTTACAACCTGTAAATTAAAAAATTCAGCATCTGGCAAATTCCCTCCACCAGCTTTATACAGAGTCAGTTATTTCCTAGTTCTACTCAATCTTCAGCTTACTACTGTCACTGGTCCCCCTTTTAGATAAGAAATCATTAGCCATAAAGTATTAAACACTAACTATCCCAAGGATATGAACCATACATATATATGGTTTGTTGACAACATTAACAAAGAAAGGTTACTTATATTGGGAGGTGGACAATTGAGGGGAATAAGAGAGAAGCTAGATTTCTTCGAACAGACCTTATTTTAAAGTTTGACTTTAAGACCAAGTAAAGTCTCAGATGATGCAAAATTGAAAATGTTAACCTTTGATAAAAAACATAAAATTAAACAAATGAACCTAAAAATTAAGAAACATAAAATTAAACAAATGAACCTAAAAATTAATCTAAATAGTAACATAACTACTCATGAACTATACCAAGTAACCTGAAAGGGGTGGGGGGAATCAAAACTGTAAAATGACTTTGACTCTTTGAGTAATCACATTGTTGGTTGTGGTCTTGGTATTATTTGTGATACATGTAAAGTGAGATACAATTAAGCAATTTTTTTGCAGTTTAATCCTGTCAACCTGAGGTCCTTAAGAACTAGGACGACTGATCCTAACCAAAGAAAATCTACTTTTAAGACAGATGAGATTAAAAACAACAGTAACGGGCCTCCCTGGTAGCTCAACAGGTTAGGACTTAGCACTGCAAGCTGGTCGCAGCCACTTCAGTGTGAGTTTGATCCCCAGCCCAGAGGTGACCCACATGGTGCAGCAGATCCCTTCTGACTTGCCTGCTGCTCCCCTCAGCAGTGTACTTCATCGATCTGCCTGTTCTGCTCCCTACTCTGTCTCTGGTGAATCTTTTCAACGCCCCTTCACCTCTGGCCTGTACCCCTGTTCTGTATGCATAAATAAATAAATCTTAAGAAAAAAAAAAAACAGTAACAACCACCTCCAAGTACTGAACCTGAATTGGAAGAACTAGTGTGGTCAAGATGAACTTTAATTTAAAAAGTGAAACATTATTTCTAAATCCTGTCCATTAAAAAATAATAACCACAACAGGAGCTATGACTAGCCATTGTTCCTTAATGAAATGACTGACTTCAGGTCCAGGGCATAAAGTTTACAAGGTGAACCTGGAATATTTTGAGAGACAGATAGCAAAGAATCTACAAAAATTAGTGGTGTTATAGTAAAAGTTACATGGAGTCAAAGAACCAAAAATGGAACAATTTGAGCTCAATAAGGTTAATAATGCAAAGATTTGCAACATCAAATATGTTTAAATGTATGGGTCCTAACTAATACTTCAATAAAAAGAATGTAGCACAGTCGGTGGATACCAAAGAAATAATTCATTTTGAAAAAGATGGTAAAGGAAAAGCACCAAATATTTTACATATCTCTCTTATTCAAGGTATATCACTGACTAATCAAAGAGCAGGTATGGTTCCGGAAGTTCCTTTTTTCATAAAGGTATATACATAATTACACTTTGGAATCCCTAATGTAAAAATGAATCAAAATTTTAAGAACTAACTCCTACTAAAATCCCAAATAAAGCAAATAGATTTTATGACTCTTGAAAAGGAAGACCATATCACAAGCCAAAGCAAACAAAGTTGAAGAACCAATTTGTGATTAATATTCCATTATTCAACTACTGATTCACAACATACACTGAGGGCAGAAGATAATAAAATTATACCTTACAAATGGCAATTAACAAAATCCAAACACTGGAAAACCATTCAGCAGAGCTTCTCAAACTATGTGATGGAAGAGTCCCTTTATTTCCCTCTAATTTCCAACTCATTACAAATACTTTGTAAAATACAAAAAACAAAAGGAATACAATGCAAAAACTTGCAAACCCCAATTTATTGTTAGATTCAACAAACAAAGATACAGTCACTGTCAAATGGTGCTAGAGTTTCTTAACACACTCAATTTCTATACTTTAAGTCATCACAAACTGGGACCAAGTATTTTTGAGGACCAGGAATAGATCCAAAGACCACATTTTGAGTAGAATGGATTTGCATCAAATAAATTCCAAAAAGAGAAGGAAATGTATATTTTTAAAAATATTTGAAAGACCTATGAAGTCAGTTATAACACATGGGCCTTATCTGAATCTCAGTTCAAACACAGTAAAATAAAAACCATTTATGAAACAATAGAAAATTTCAACTGGATCTTTATACTTAACTAGGATTATTATTAACAATCTTTGTTTTGCTAAAACAAATCCTTGTATTTGGGAAATATTTATATACTTGTGGGTAATGCCATGAGAGTTACTTTAAGAAATAAGTAGATCCATATATATATGCAAGTGATCGTGAGTTTGTAACTGTTGAAATAATTATAGGTGAATAAACTATTCTTTTAAACATTTGATGTTTTTGCACAAATAATCTAAATTTTAAAAGCCTGACTCCCACAAATTTATTTTTACAGAATTCAAAAGGAGCAGTTTAGGGAAGGCAGACTTCCATAGCACTCTGGGCTGGGAAAAGCAATAAAATCTAAAAATGGTTATAGAAGTGATGTTAAATTCAATCTTTTCCCTTTGGTATCTAGATGATGAAATGATAGAAACTGAAAAGTAAACCGAAATTCAATTATATCCCTCAACCAAATAAGCAGCAGAAACTGCTATATATATATATATATATATATATGTATGTATGTGTATATGTGTGTGTGTGTGTGTGTGTGTGTGTGTGATTCCATATGTGTACTGTGAATAATAAAGGAGAGAGGTATTTCAGGGTTTTCTGGAAAAGTCTATCTAGAACAATTCTAAAATTACATGCAGAGTGTGTTTATTTTTAGAAAAACTCACAAAAATCTTCTGTATTTGAAACCTTGTGATAAAAATTCTGTCAAGTGGAGAAACTACCAGGAAGGAACACTATGTATAACAACCCATAAACACCTGTCACTGGGAGCAAACACAAAAATTAGTACTACTACATTTAGGTTTTAGCAAGTGCCTTTATTCTAGTGAAGAACCCAATTTCCAGGTAACTGATCCAAAGAAAATTTACTTGAGATTAAACTCCAGGGATGATCCAGACAAGATTAAAAAAATTTCTCCATAACTTCTCTGGTTTTAAAATTTTCAGAAATAGCCCTAAGAAAGAGTCTTTAAAAGTAAGAATTTTATTTACTCTTTGTTTCTTTAGCTTGGGGACACAAGCTCAATGTATTCTCCAACAGTTTAATAGTGTTTTTCCCCTTCTTACTGCCTAATTCACCTGTATGGTTTTAATTATTGACAATCACAAAACAATTTCCTCTTTAATCCATCCCTTGCTCATCCCTTACTCTGTGGCATTTTGTTATCTTGTTCAGGCTGTGGCTAAGTCTACACTGAATATGCAGTAAATTTTGTAAATGACAAAAAGTTGCTGCATTTTGTTTGTCATGCCATCTTGTTATTGTAACTTTTGTGTTGTGATGGGAGTACAAAATCTAAAAAAGCAACTGTTTTCGGTTTCCTCCATTCACCTTCTGCTATTTAGTGCATTCTAATCTTGGAAGAACTGAGGAATCCAATACCTAACAATTCAAAATTAGCAGGGTTATGTCTGAAACATAGCCTAATCAAAAATTTATTTAATAGACCTGTGTCCAGCACCTAACAATCTACTGAATTTCCCTATATTTTAGTGCCTTATAAACATGTTAAATAACAATTTTTTAAAAATTTTAAAAGCAATGATAGTTGTTTATAGGAAGTACAAATTGCTTAGTAGTTTTAAGCTAATATGAAATGATCTGCTAGAAGCTACCTTAAATGGGTCTTGGATATTACAAAAAGTACGGGAAAAAAATGCTTTCTTATCACATTAAAAAAAAAAAAAATCAAGCAAAGTTTTACTTAACCTTACCTAGCTCAAACATATAGTCTAATTTTATCCAGAAATCTTTGACCTGCACATAGGTAATTGAAGCAAAGTAAAACAAGTCTTTAAAAAAATCAGTCACAGACACAAGATAGTATTTTAAATATACAGTAGGAACATTTATTTTAACACTTCTAAAAGATATTTCTCCATGCCTGATGATTTGATATAAAAATCAAACACATCATACTTTCCCCATCAGTCTCCTACATCAAGGGCAATCAGAAATTTGTACAACATGAATATCTGTTTCTGAAACAAAAATTACAAATTAAGTGGTAACAAAAATACACAAATCAACTGGACCCTAACCAAATTTCTAATGAATTCTTTCCCAGTTTCCCCAATCACCTGAAGCTTCTTTCTTCAGCCTCATTCTGTTCCTTTTCCTTTCTTTGCTTGGCCATGAATTTCTGTTAAAAGCAATTTTCAATATAAAATTATTAGATGTTGATTTGCTATACACATAAACATATCTAATGTAGTATGTCATCTTATTTACAGTTAAAAGCACTTGATCCTTTAAAAAAATAATTACATCCCTCACAAAGATTAGGAAACACAGTGCCTTAAGACTGCTTCCTTCCATCATCTCGTATTTATGGTATTTCGGGCACTATGTTTGGTGCTTGGGGATTCAGTGTTCAACAAGATGGGGCATGGTTCCTTTTCCTTATGAAACTTACATTCTACTGGAGGAAAATAAGTAACAAAAACAAACAACATAATTTTGGGTGGTGGTAAGCTCTATAAAGGAAATAAACACAACAAATTAGCTGACTAAGGTCAACCCATTTTGGGAGTGGTAGGGAATGCTCTACATTAGCTAGATCTCTCTTAGGCAAACGACTTTCTGAAAAGCAGATATTTGAACTGAGACTTGAAAAGATGAAGAATCAGCTACTCATGTGGGATTGAGATAGGAAAAAGAACAGTGATATAAAGGTAAAAAGGGAGCGAAGGGGTTTCCATGTATGAAAATAAAACAAAGAGCTAGAAGACAGTGAAAAATAAAAAAATAGAGAGGAATCAGATCATGTCAAAGTCCTAGAGATCCCCAAGATGTTTAGATATTATAAAAGTGTCATTAATATGAAGATTTTAAATGGAAAAATGACATGCTAAACTCAAGAACAATAGACTATATACCACAAAATTTAATGGCTCAAACTGAGAATACAACAGAGGTAGATTCAAACACTAGGTTTGCCACTAATTAGCTATGCCACTTTGGGATTAGATACTTAGCTTTAGATATTCTTTAAGCATGTTTCTGCCTTTTTTAAAATTAGGGTAACATCTACATCACGAAATTGATGAGGAGTTTTAAAATAAGCTGCTAGCATTTAACACTCGATAAATGTCTATGCCACAATTTAGTAAGAAAGGACGTGTGAAACTCAAACATTCAGAAAGAATCAGAACTACTGCTTCAACTATGGCTAGTGATGACTTCTCAGAGTAGAGCTTTCCAAAGAGATGACAATATGGGAAAAAAGGAAAGAGATTTTAGGAGGGAACACAGAAATAACTGTGACTAGGCAATTCATAAACTTTAGTATGTTAGGTGCCCATGACTCTCTAAAGGGGCACTTCCCAGACTTTAATGGAGGGTCACATGGAACAACTGTTCTGTGGACTATTTTGGCAAATGCTACTAGAGGAAAAGTTACTGGCTAAATTTAGTGAAGCAGTGAAGAAGACTAGAATTTTGGATTTAAGAAGAATAAACCACCAAAAACCTTCAACAGTTCTACCAAAGATAAAGAATGTACATTTTGGATTGCCACTTACATAGTTTGATTATAAGACACTAATACCACCTAAAGATTTTATGAGGGGCTAAGGATAAACTAAAGATTACCTCTGTATTTAGCTTATGACGTGTACTCTTGCAGTGATTTGTCATTGCTTTTTCACCTGAGTAGAAGAGGGAACATATTGGACAGAAGAATCCAGCCTTCGGCACAAGAAAATCTAAATCTACAACAGGGAACAAAAAGGAGGAAAATTAACAATAATTACTTGCATTTAATCAATTTGTCTAACTATGACAAAATTACTAATTAAGCACAGTATATAATACAGAGCAATACTATATACTGCTTTGCTAGGGACCAAACACAATTATGCTTTTAGTTACTATACAATTTTTTTTTAACAAATTCTATAATATACCAGAACCTACAGTAATACCAGCAGTTCTTTCAGAACAGCAATTCACTGGAAAAGAAATCAGTTTTTGAAATACACTTCTTAGGAGACCCTTGTGAAAATAAAACAGGGAGAAGAGACAAACGATGGGCAACTGTCTGCATAAGGACTGTGACAGGTAAACCAGCAAGGTGTCCCTCAGTTCATCTCAGATGGCGTTGACCAAGTTTATTCACTAAGTTTTTCAGCATGTTCTTTTAAATTGGAATTTCTGCCTTAACAAGTGTAACTCAGTCCTAATCAGAGCAGCAAAGGAAGCACCTGTACTTATTCTGGATTTCAAGAGAATAGATTATGTCCTTGCCTGGAAAAAAACACAATCTAATAAAAGGTTTTCAGAAAGGTCGCTGTGCAAAAACTTCCTCATTTTCTACTCATCAAAACAACAGAACATTAAGTTGCTGAATTTTTATTTCATAAGGGTAAGGAAAATATGTCTTTTTTACTTCACCTTCAGGGACATCAGGTGCCACTGATTTTTCTAAAGAGTCTTCAGTCTTCTTGCGTTTTCGTTCTGGTTCTGAATCCTTGAATTCAGAATCTTCATCAACTGAAGTCATTAAATTTTTCAAGGAAAAAAGGTTAATTCAAAATAGATTTACAAACCCTATGAAGCTAACAGCTGTAATTCCTGTCTCTGAAGATGAACTTATGGTTCATCCCTCTAAGTAAGGGCTAATCCCACCTGATCACTTTTCCAAGGTTATCTAATATAAGGAATCAATGCATAAACCTGTTCCACCATTTCCGGGAAAAGGACAAAAGCAAACAGCAAATTTTATTTGTACATTGTTCCAGAAAGAATTTAAAGGACAATGAAAGAAGTTAAAGCTCTATAACTGCTTGAATTCCACATCTTCATATTACTGGTTCTCTCCTCCTCACACGGTAGATTTTTAGAACTCCAACCACTATCATGTACTATGCTCTGCTCCTCCCCCTCTTCCGCCAGTCCTTTACCTTCACTCATCTGGAAGGCCTCTTCTCCTTTTGCTAGTTCTGTGGCAATAGCTTTTTCCGATTGCGGCATTTTCCCAATTCTACCTTTCTTGGTTGGTGTTTTAGCTTTAAAAAGAAAGTCTAATTTATTGCTATAGTTGATAGCATTTTAATTACTTGAAATTCAAAATAATATTTTAAATACCTTTCATTTTTATAAGCAATATTCAAATTTGGGAAGGAAGCCTATTTCTAATATAAAACAGGAAAATCCTGCTTAAAAAATATTTAGCATTGTTCTAGACATCTTCCTTTTATTTTTCCATTTATCTTTTCCAAAAACCTACACTTCCTACCTGCTTTCCAGATTTCCATTTATCTTTTCCAAAAAGCTACAACTTCCTACCTGCTTTCCACAGGAGCCTCTACATAGCTTTTCACTTTTGTTCCATAAACATGTAAGATCTTTCTAGGATGTTTTATTGTTAATTAAAAATTAATTTTTACTAGACCTTATTCTGGCCTCCCTTAGATTTTGAAAGTGAGCTGACCTATCATTCTATACCATCAAAATATTACTTAAAAGTGGACTATTATATTTATGAATTTTTCTAAATCCTAAGTCCAAGTATAAATTAGGAGGTACTGTAGTATAAACAATTTTTGTTCATCAAAAGCTGAGTTTTCTCAAAAATACAGGCATATGATTTTCATTCCAATTCTAATTTGAACAATCTTAGTTTGCTTTCTGGTTTTGCCACCTTGATATAAAACCTGGGGCTAAGTTTGCTTTGTAAGAGAAATGTGGGAAATCTGTATATAATTATTTGGAAAATATCATTAGCTACAACTATTTGTTGGCTTTCATATTAATACAGGATCAAATTATTAGTAATGCCACAACACCTATTTTTTGAAAAACTTTAAAGTTAATCCCACCCATAAAACAGAAAAACTACATTTATAAGTTTGTACCTATGAAGTGTCTTTCAATCATGGCTTTTAGATCTTCTTCCATAACATTCTCATTTAGTGGACCCACGTGGGATAAGGCTTCAAGTTTTGCTTTCTTTGTGTCCATACCTCTTTTTTTTCTATCCCCTCTTTTATCTGCAGGATGGTCATTCTTTCTTTGTGCTAATTCAACTTTTAAATCATTGTCTCCATCTTCTTCCTCTCCAACTTCATCAACAGTAACAAAATTAAGTTCTTCTTTAAGATTGTTAAAATCTGCCAAAGAATCTTCATCCTCTTCAGTTACTTCATCCAAAGTCACTAAATGCAGTTCACTGCTGTCATCCTGTATTTCGTCTACTGTAACTAAAGTAGAAGGGTCTTCAGGCATCTGGGAAGAAATGAATCCAATGGCTTCCCTTCCAGTACTTCCCTCATCTACTTTAGTATTTAAAGTGGCAAAACTTATATCAGCAGACTCGTTTAAAGGTAACTCTTCTACTTCTCCAATTTCATCCACAGTTACCAACCGTTCCTGTTTCAGAAGATCTTGTTCTTCTGCCACTGACAATACAGTAACATCTTTAGGTTCACCGGAAATGCAATCATCTTGATCAATTAATTCATCTAGTGTAAGAAGAGAATTTGAATTTTTTACCATTTCTTCCACATTAAGCTCTTCTTCATCGATGATTTCATCCACAGTGACAAGAGCCTGTGCTAGATGTGCATCTTCCTCTTCCCCGATCTCATCCAAGGTTACAAAGGATAGTTCTCCCTCAACAACACGAGAGGCAGAAGGTTTTCCCTTTTTCTTCTTTAAGTTAAGTTCAGAAAAAGGGTTATTTTTGATAGCTTCTTTCCTTTTACCCTTTAGTGTATTCTGCTTGGCTTGAAAAGGACTTACATCCTCTATAACCTCATCCACAGTAACAAGTTCATCCAAATTAAATGAAAATAATAGTAACTCCTGTTCAAAGAGTAAAAATAAAACATAGAATTGTGAAATACTAAAAATTGGACAAGTTCCAAATAGTTCAGTAAATGTACATGAAGTATCATTTGTGAGAATTTCAGTGTAGTTTTCTGATGGCTGAAATCAGTCAATTTTAAAAGTCTTACAGAAGAATTAGCTGTAATTCACAAAGTAGACCCTTTCAAAGATAAAGTGCTAACACTATCAATCTAGTTCCACCTTTACTTAGCTCCAATAAAATTACATTTATTTTCCAGGTGATGTCTAGTTATGAAATACGATACAAAAAACACATTTAATTATCAATGATATAATGTAAAGAATTAACTGTTCCATATATTAAGTGATATCTCCCTGAGGCTTAATGGACTTCAAAAACACCTTCATGTAGCTAGTGAGATTGTTCCACTGACCAATTTATATATAATAATTTTAAGATATTCAATTTTAAGACCTTATAGTCTACATTTTAAGAAAGTTTCATAGAAAATAGCTAAGACTTAATCCTAAATACAACTATTTGGAAAAAAGAATCTGTAATTTGAACAGTGGCCCCAGAACTAAAGAAAATATATTTCTACTCAATCTACTATCTATTTGGTATGCTATCAATGCCAGTTATTAGTTGACTTTTAGAGTATAAACACAGAAATGGCACAGGGGGATAAAAAATCTATAAACAGGCCCTCCCTGGTGGCGCAGCGGGTTAAAGCACTGCACTGAGAAGCTAAAGCCGCTTCCGCATGAGTTCAATTCCCGGCTGCCCCGGAGGTTATCACATGGTGTGGCAGACCTCTCCTGACCTGCCCGCTGCTCCCCTCAGCAGTGTACTTCGTCGATCTGCCTGTTCTGTTCCCCACTCTGTCTCTGGTGAAGCCTCTCACCGCCCCTGAGCCTCTGGCCTGTACCCCAGTTCTGTATGTACAAATAAATAAATCTTTAAAAAAAAAAAATCTATAAACAATTATACCAACTTGTAAAGTCAACAAAACTACTACAATCCTTATTTGTGCTTCTTAAAAAGTGTTTTTTATTATTCCAGTAAACCATTCCCTACCTGGGTAAAAAGTACAATGACTAAAAAATACCTTATGAATGCTGGAAATTTAAAGTATCAAACCACCAAATGTAAAAGGTAAGATGTTTATTTGGCAAAACTCAGTACTAAGAAAGTAAATCTTAAAAGAGTCCATCCAATTAGGTTAAAAATTAGTAAACAGGCCCTCCCTGGTGGCACAGCAGGTTAAAGCACAGCATTAAGAAGCTGAAGCCACTTCAGCATCAGTTTGATCCCCTGCCCTGGAGGTGACCACATGGCAGACCTCTCTTGACCCTCCCCACTGCTCCCCTCATCAGTGTACTTTATCAGTTGGCCTGTTCTGCTCCCCACTCTGTCTCTGGTGAATTCTCTCACCGTTCCTGCACCTCTGGCATAAATAAATAATTAAAAAAAAAAAAGTAGTTAACAAAATGACCATCTGCTTGGAAATTCCACACAACGGGGAGGGCTCCAGTCACTTTCCCTTAAACATGATTTTATTTTGTTTATAACCAATTTCTGTCAGTATGAGCTTGAAGGTAATTTTCCCTTTCTGTGTAACTTCTGTCCTACACCAAAGACAAGCTATTTAACCTAGTTCAAGCTCAAAATAAAAACTGGTGATAGTATCAAAAATAAAACATATTAATCTTCTCCCTTGCACTATATCAAGCTAATTGTTATAGGAGCAACAAAGCTATTAATAATCACTAACAACAGTTAAGTGATAGTTAGAATTTCTTACCTCTTTAGATTTAGAACTTCTAGCAGTGGTGCTTTTAGGATTCTTAGTGTTTTGCCCAGCCAAAGTCTGAAATATTAAGAAATACAGAAAAACAATTTATCATTAGGTTATTAATTGCTTAATAAAATTCAAAGAGTAAACATTATCCAAATACATTCATCTATACAAATGCTGACTGTTAACTAAGTTAACAGTCATTTAACAGTATGTGCATCATCTCTATAAATGTAGTAAAACATGGCTTTATTGGTTCTTTAATTTTATAGCCACAATCTAAGTTGGGCAATCAGTAAGATGACAAAACGGTTTCCCATTTCCAAAGCAGAAAGCTAAATCACCTCAAGAGATTCACTGCAACTTTTTTTAAAACCACAAAGTTGTATTTCTGATCATATTTTACCACAATAGTGCTTTTCAAACTTGAGTTTATTAATAAGTTACAACTTGAGTTTATTATTACTCTAAATGTCTACTGGCCTCAATCAATGGAGTTATTTAAGAAAGGGAAGTAGGAGCTTGGGAATGGAGTAAGGAGATGAAAAGGTAAAGCAAGACATCTTCTACTCCATAGCTATGGTAGAGCTAATCCCTTCAAGGACACACTGAGTCATTCTTCCTATCCTCCTCACCTTATTGTTGCTGTCATCCCGTTTCATGGTAGAAGATCTAGCCTCTGTTTCCTGAGACTGTTTTGTAACATCCCTGTAATCCACTTTAGAATCCTTGCCTTGCAGGGCTGAGATTCTTCCACTGCTTCCTCTGGTAACACCACTCTGAGTAGATTTGAATTTACTGCTGCTTTCAGCCAAGCCTGATTTGGCACTTGTAGATTTAAACAGACTCAACTCCTTAGCTGAAAGTTTCTTTTCTGTGAATACAGATCTCAGAAAATTTTTCTGATTTTCAGAGCTTGAAGTTGTAGCTTTTGCTTTTGGAGAAGAGACCATACCAACCTTGACACTTGATTTACTGCTAGATGCATTTGATGTAGCCAGCACACTAGTTTTACTAGTTTCATCAGGCTTATTGATCAGACCTATTCCTTTATTTGGATATACCTTGATAATATTTTCAGCAGGCTTTTCTTTCACGGCTGTCATAATCTTTTCCAACTTCTCTATCATCATCCTAGCATCACTTTTTTCAGGCTTCTCTATTCCTATCTGCAGATCCATTCTAGTTTCCTTAATACTGCATTCATTCTCCTCCTTTTCACCCATATTACTAATCTCAGAAATTCCTTTTTTGTTCACAGACTTCTCATCCCGAGGAGAAATTCCTGGTACTAAGGTCCTAACACAAGCAGATGGCACTACTTCTGAATCAGCTTCATGTTTGTCCACTTCAGCTACAGTTTCTATCATAGACTGTGTAATCCCAGAAAAGAAATCTTCTGCATCAGACGGAGATTCTTCCAGAATTCTTTTGATATTCCTCTCATCCACAAACGCACTGTCAGATGTTGACAATTCTGTTTCAGGGTTAATAATCTCTGCCTCTTCCTTATCAAAGTCACTAGCATATACCTGCTGACTTAAAACAGATTCCTCTATATTTTCAGTGAATAATTCAATACTGGATGGAGTGGATGCTACAAGAGGAATTTCCACTTTGAGCTCTTCTTCTTGAGTTTCAACTTCCAATGTTTCAATAGTAAAGTGAGTGTCACATAGCACTTTTTCAGGTTCTTCCTCACAAGGTTCTTCCTGTTGTATAGAAGTTTCTGTTTGAATGTTGAGAACTGTTTCTTCTTCAACCTCACTAGGTTTACCAGGGGGACTATCAGCTGCTGTCTGCACCTCACTTTCATCAACAGGACTGTTTTTCAAGTCAGAGCTGAAAGTATTTAAAAACAAATAGAAGAAAACACAAACAAAACACAAAACAAAAATCAAACTATGATGAGAATTCAACCATTATAATTTGGACAATTAGCCTGTTGATGCTAATTGTTAAGACTTCCTGATGCATTAATAACAAGCACTGGGAAACCCAGCCAGTCAGCATTAAAATGGTTAAGGTGTTTGATGCAAATACGTAAATAATATGATTTTTTAAAAGAGATTCTCCATTGTGTTGAAGATTTCTTTTTAGTTCAAAAGGAGGATATGGTAAAATCGTGGCCATTGATATGAACTTTATACTCATGCCAGTTATAATAATCCTTTCTTTGTGTGTCAAGTTTACACTTGCCATTGGAAGAGTACATGTGAATTTAAGATCAGCCTACCTTCCCAGCTGTGATAATGAAATTTTTAAAAATGTGTATATTTCTATATAAAACTAGTGATCCATGCAATGAAATTTAACATTTTAGAAGTGAAACCTATTTAACCTAACTAAAATGAACATAAACAGAAAACTAGTTGGAGTAAGGCCATACTCTTAACCATGTCACTTCTCCTCTTTGGATGCAAGATAGATTTGTTTTTAAACTTTCCAAGAACTGTATTTAACAAAAGTACTTAAAAGAAAACTTTCACTGGAGGTATCTTAAATATTCTATTGGGGATTTAAAAGTACAGGTGAAACCGACAGGATTGGCTTAACATAAACATGTTGGTTTTGTAAAATGTGACTGATTACCTTTTGAGAAAGTATATGCTAAAAGAAAGTTTCCAGTTACAAAGTATAATTTAAAATTCCAATACAACACTTAAAGTTATATTCAGAAAGAAAAAAACTAAATATATAATATATAGCTAGTATATGCAACTGATCTAGACAGTGGCCTGTTCAACTCCAAAGTAAACAGGAATGTGTGATGGTTACTTCAAATATTTTCACTCAGAGAGACAGGATAAACTATTTACATTTAATGTTCCATAGATTATAAATTATCTTGAAGAGTAACAAGGAAAATCATAGAATCCAAAGACAATGTCCATCATGCTATATTCACTGAATTAGAAACAGCACATAAAAGGAATACAACAGAAAGTAAAAATTACTAATTTATTTATTCCTCCAACTTTTCAATAAAGGAGGGAATGAGTTATCATCTTTGATGTGCTTCTCAAAGGGTGGTCATATACCGTTCAATTAATGCAAGACGATATGTATCTGTGCCCAGAAACATTAGTATGTCTGAAGTTTGAAAAAAGTGCTAGTGTGTCAGGATATAATCATTTAATAAATTGGTCCTTCCCCCAAACATGCTAAGTCTAAACTTCCAAATGAGAACATTTCTGAAAGAGCAGCTAAAAAGGCTCTTGCTAAAAGCTATAAAGGTAAAGAGTTTGAAGAAGTTCAATGGCTAGTAACCACACACCTCAATCAATATAGATTCGATTCATTTTTACTGAGAGAGTTTAAAGGTTTTTATTTTAAATAATTCACATCCCTTATATTCCCAAATACTAAAGACTGGTCTCAAAAGTATTCCAAATTAGGACTAGTCAAAATAAAACTTGTGCCATTAACAAATACAACAAAGAAAAAGTTGTGGTTTTCAAATAGAGTAGTATGTAAACATTATTATCACCTCCAAAGATGAAGATTAAATTCAAATCCTTCTTTTACTAAGGAACTTGAGCTAGGAGGATAACAACTGAGATTCTGATTTCTGGTTCTATTATATATAACAAGTCTTTCCCCCACTATAATACTTAAAAGTTGCGAATTAAACTATCATCTTTTATACAAAATGAAACACTATGCAGTCCCACACTTCAGAGTACATAGAAAATGGCTTAATTCATCTTTGTGCTCGTGTACTGTTCCTTTAAAATGATAGCACTATCTCTGCAGAAGTCTATACCAAAAACATCTAGTTTTCTGGCTAACGTTAGAAAAAAGTCTCAATGTTTGTAAAACCCCTTTGAAATGTCAATGTCAGCGTTTGGAAAATCCCTTTGTGAAATGAATGAAGTATTAACACGGGAGTCAAACGATTAAAGGCAACTACAATCACATGCTGGGAATGGCATAAAAAGTATCCTGGGAAGGTAATCAGGATACAGGTTATCTAATTTCCCTTGCCCATCTCACTCCCCCCCCCCCTCCATAACACCAGCTTCTAAATCTTTAAAAGTTGGGCAGGAGAACAAAGGTTAACACCATGTCAAAAACTTTCTGAGAAACTTTAGATGAAGATTTAACAATACTAAAGATTAGTATTTATTTCAGAGGATAACTGGAAACTTCCAAACATTAGTAATGAATGGCGAATTGGTGAGAATTTTGTCTAGTATCCTTATTAGACTTAACCACAGGGTAAATAATGTTTAAGGGGGGAGGGAGAATGAAAACAGGCAAAATATAAAGCAGCATAAATTATTGCCATATTCACACAAAACTTCCTTTAGATAGTAATGTATTTAAATACATTAGTTATAAACAGGATCATATTCTTAATAAATGATCACGAAACATCCACAAATGCTTTAAAACACACAAACACAGTCTTTTCTCAGTAATATTTTACCCATGTAAACGTGAATTATTTGGGGCATATCCCATATCTTTTTCTATATATGTCAAGAAAGACTGATTTTCAAAATAGTAAGTTATGTGTTATTAACTAAAATTTTTAAATTTTTAAAAGATTGGGCAACTTCTTGTAAGTTCTTTAAGAAATTCTGATTTTAAAGGATAAGTCAAAATAGCGGAGGGAAAAATACCAGCAAAACTATAAACAATAGCTATTCTTGCAGATGTGAAAGAAATTTAGTAAAAATGAAATATATAAAATGGATTTTTGGGAGGGCCTACTCACCTACCAGCCAGAGTTAGTGTGGCCAAATGGTCTGTATGTCTAGCATGTGGCATATTACTTATAAAGCCCTTTGAGCATCTGTGTATCAAACAATGTTGCTGGTTAAATCCTTTTGGGCATGTGAATATAACTCGTGTCATGATGTGACTTAAATTTTATGCTGTCACATAAAACAAAATGAATGCTTACCAATGTTAACACACTTGGGGGGAAAGGAAAAAGAAATTACCAGTGTAGTTTAATGTACTTATTATCATTTAAAGTTCTCATAAAAATGAACTAGAAGTAAGACATCCTGTTTCCCAGGCATCTTAGAAATAGTGTATGAAATAAACTACTTTCAAGCTGCTTTTTCAAAGTGATAAGTTCATGAATTCTAATAAATAAGGGTAAAGCATGTAGTATAGACAAGGACAAAGAAGCCTAAATCGGTGACTTGCAATGAGAAGAATAAAAGGAAAGTCATTAATTGGTGGGACCAAGACCATGAAAAGGGTGATACGGCTCAGGATAAGAAAGTTACTTAGAAGAGAAAATTTACATGTGATCAAAACAAGGTCACTAGCTTGTATAGACTCTGAAGGACAAGTTTTCATTCTCCCAAAATATAAAGCAATATGCATAATTATTTTATTTTACAAATATCCCTCCGTCAAACTGCCTTAGTTTTTCAAAAAGTTTTAGATTTAGATTTTTTGGTAGGTGAAATTTAAAAGATATGCAGAAAGATTAACAATTTACTTTTGTATCTAACCATTTTGGAATAGAAAAGTCTAACAAAGAATATAATACTGATTATGGAGTTGGGTTGTTCAGAGACTCTTAGCAAAATGTTTAATGGAGAAATATTTGTATATTTAATGAAACTGTTTATACATTGTTTTTCTTAAAATAAAATCCACAAATACCTGACAGAGACCAAAAATCAAAACAAAAGAAAAACCTTAGGTCAAACAGATCCAAAGAGGGAAACCCAAACACTCATATTTACAAAATGAACAGGAAAACTTTTTGCTGTAATTACTATAAATCTAGAGAAATGTCATTAAATATTACAGGAACTTTTTAGCAAATTTAAAACAACATACCTTTTTCTTCCTAGTTCTGGGTCTTTCTCAGCTTGAGTCTGTAACATAATTCCACGTTTTATTAAGAGGCTATTCTACTGGATTTTAAATATTTAACCCATCAATGCAATGTTTTTATAAGATCTGAATTAAAAAGCAAAACTACATCTTAAAAGTATATCAAAATATAGTTTTCACCACCTCCACAGCTATCAGGTTTCAGAATTTTTCCTCATTAGGTAAGTCAGGTTTTAAAGAATTATCTGTTTTATAGACACTAACAAGAAATGCAAGTTTCCTTCATGTTGATGTAAATAAGAAACTTCTTTAACTTTCAAAGTCTGAGAATACCACCCTTCTGCTAAAAATAAAGCCTGAAAAGTCAACATATTCCTTGTATAGTTAGTATTAAAAAGACTTGTTTATGAGAGAGTAACTAGCTTAAAAAGTTTTCTACTCAAAATTTCTGGTGGGGAAAAATAACCCTTTTATACATATGAACATAAAGAGACAACATCCTGGAGCCCATACTGGAATACGAATAAAAAAATTCAGTGCCTATAGATCAAGCACATGTCCAGGCACTTAGTGGATCAAAACAGCAAAAATGTCTTTGAGCTTACACATACTTAATGGAGGCCTTTTGGGTGGTAATCATGTGTGCTCCCAGTCAGAAATTATCTTTCTCTATCTAGATTATATCAGATTAAAAACCAAGAACTGCCCCTTTAAAGAAACTTAATAATGTACCTAGAGAAGATTCCTAATGTGGGTGTTGGAGTTCCAGAGAAAAGGCCTTTAATACTGGGGTATCTGGTGGGCTACTCAAGTTTATATCCTAGTGGTATACAATTGAAATTGAAGACAATAGCTGATAAACCCTATCTACAGAGAGTGTACAGATTCATGGGAGTAGATGGTTAGAGAAAAAATATCTTACGTGGTATTAGCAGAAACCTACACCAGATACCTGTATTAGTTAACTTGTTTCATTCTTCAAAAATGAATAAAAGAAAGTGAAATAGTACACAAAATCGGCTACCTAGATTTCAGAGAACTACTACTTTTTTTTAAAAAAAAATTTTGTTTCAATTTTAAGTTCTTTAAAATTTTCTGGAGAAAAATCCAATAGGACAATCTCCACGAAATCAGTGTATCTGTTATTTCCAGAAAGATAAAACCTTACAACTTGAAAAGAATTAAAAGAAATAAGGAATACAAGAAATCAGGTAAAAGAACACACTAATTGTTTTGTCACGTTGCCTTTTTAAATTGATTTAACATTGGCTTATAACACTATTTCTGTTTTAAGAGTAGGATCTCCCACTTCTGGTGGTATTATTATATCATATCCACCACCAAGGCACCCAAATCCACCTTCACAGTCCCATTTTAGAACACAATAGCCTTTAGAGTTTATAAGTTCATTAAGTGTTCTCAAAGAAGGATGTAGGACAAAAATAAAATGTTGCTGCTCACTGCACTAGCCATGTTCATCCTCCTTGGAGATTCTTTGATACCAAAAGTATCCTTAATAGCTTAGTTCTTGTGCTTTTCTCTAAAAAGCTCTTATTTTATGCTGGATATGCTCCTCAGAAAGTCTTATCTCTAAACACTCAAAAATACATATACTCTCTCCATCACTTACTACCCTTTATAGCTTGATCTACTAGGACATCATATATTTATTTACATATACACAAACACACATTCATACTGTATATGTGTACATGAAATCTATTTCTAGTATGTAAGGACTGTGACATAGCCTCCTCTGTTTATCAATGTATTCCAGTATCTAAAACAGTGTGGTTTAAGTGAATTAAGATTAAATATTATTCTAAAAAGTTAATGAACAAATTCAAAAATTTTTCAGAAACAAATACATAAAGGTATAGTAAGAATCAGCTTTCTCAACAATCTGCTAATTCTAATAACATGAACAGAACTGGAGTGCATTAAGTCAGGAGAGAGAGAGATAACTAGATGGTTCTGTAACAGTATCATCTCCATAGATAGGGTGAGGTTCCAGATTCCTTGTCCAACCTAAGAAAGGGTGGAGCTGAACAGTGAGGGTAAACTAGAAAGGACTAGAGAAAGGACTGAGAGGAGATTTGGAGGAGGTACATGGAGCAATGAAGCATGCTTGTTTCTTGGCCTTGGCCTTATATCACAGACTTGGAAGACATGGAAGTAGACACTTGAAAGAGACATGGGAGCTTCCTTGTATTTTGATTTTGCTCTTTTCCTTCCAGACTTGCCTGGACCCTTCTATCCCTTTCCTATGGTTCCCTATCAGAAGCTGCCTTAGATTTGTGGCAACTTTGGGGCCTCAGAGGCCTCACTTTGGGCCAACTTTGTTTGACTGGGCATTTACTCACAAGAGGATGAGTAACTTTGAATGTTGAACTGGAAACTATTAATTATCTCTGCTTCTTTCTAATTCCATTAAAGTTCTTTCCTACTGAAGGTCTTATGCACTCAGTAGGTTTTGTCTTTATGTAGTAGATGGAAGAACCTATTTAGAGTGTACATGTTTGGGAGTGCCAGGATGCCCCTCACCTGCCCAATAATAGTTTTACTTATATGTGGAATACAGAGAAATAAAATAGACAGCAAGTCTGTTTGTAAATTAAGGCTACCAGAGGAGGAAGGTGTAGTGCAAGGTGTGGAGGGGGCCAAGAGTAAGGCGGAATAGGGGGCATGTAATCCCATACCTTTGAATCATACAGTGTAGTAAACCAATCTTATCTCAATAAAAAGAAAGAAAATTACAAAAATTACAAAATTTAAAGGTAAACTATCCACACCAGTAGCAGTACTATGTAAGTTAAAATCCTATTTTAAAAACTGTGTATTTATACAATAAGTTTATAAATAAATTTAAATAAAATATATGACTTCAATTTAGACAAATTGTATTGCTATATAATCCATGGCGGGGTGGAGGGGAGAGAACGGAATAGTAAAAAAAATAATCTAAATTCAGAACTGGAATTCCCTGCAGGGATCCTCTTCTTATCTTCAGACAATGTCTTCTATGATTTCTTTTTTGGTAAAAAACACAAAAGTTGATACTTACCTCTGATGAACCAACCTTTGGAGATAATGTGCAGGTCAGGACATGGTCCCCTATGTTTTGTGGATTTTGTTTCAGAAAGCTGTACATTGAATGAGCAGACTCACGACTATCGAGCTGAAGAATTGCCTTTGGGGAAGAAGTTTTTAACAACTCCTTTAAATAGTAAAAATACTAATTATATACCACTTAGTAATTTCACTTTCTAGTATAAACCCAGTGAAATGAAAACAAGGGAACTCAAACAGATTATTTATACCCCCATATTATTCGTAACAGCCAAAGGTAGAAGCAACAAATAAGCAGATAAATAAAATGTGGTGTATGCATACAATGGAGGGTTATTCAGTCTTAACAGGAATAGCTATTAAAAGGAATATTCATAGGAAGGAAATTCTAACATATGCTCTAACACATTATGCTAATAAAAATAACCAAGTCCTAAAATGACAAGTATTGTGTGATTTCATTAATATGAGGCATAAGAATAGTAAAATTCACAAAAAGTGTAATGGTGGAATGGAGGTCGCCAAGGACTAAGAGTATGAGGAACCTAATGTTTAATGGACAAAGAATTTTTCAGTTTAGGAAGATGAAAAAGTTCTAGAGATGGATATTAGTGATGACTGTACAATGATGTGAGTATAATTAATGACAATAAACTGATACTACAAATGGTTAAAATGATAAAATTTAAAAAAAACAGTAATATATTTTACTGAAATGAAAATAAATCTCTAATTTTTTAGAATTATGAATATACATTTCTTCCAGACTTAAAACATGGTATCAAAGGAAAGGTTAATCTTATTTCAAAGCAAAAAAGAGACAACAAGCCCTCCAATGTTACAAAGTCAAGGCAAAATTGAAAAAGGTATTTTTTTTAAGACTTCAAAAAAATTTCTTACGACATTGTTTATTTTTGTACACTATTTGATTTCTCCCCTCAGGTACAGTTGCCATAACTCTCCATCACCACAGATGCTTGTGTTCTTCCCTCTCCTATTCTGACCTATCTCCTTCCCTTTACCCTGACTTATGTCTCAGAACTATAGTTTGTAAGTTTTGACTTTATTTATTTAATTTTTTTTTTGGACACTTTGGTCTCCCTATAATCCTCCTATAAATGATACTATTCCAAGATTTTTCTTTTTAAGATGTAGGTATTTTTAAAAACAGCATTAAAGATATCTAAAGTGAATGTTCTTTATTCACAATGCCATCTATATATATCATCTTCTTTCCATACTATGTCACATTATTTTTAAAGTACCGCACTGATCTTCCAAATACCAGTTAGAAGCACGCTAAAGAAATTAGTAGCAAGTTGTCTGTCAATTAAGTACTTTATATAATGTATATAACATCAATTTTGATAGCCCTACTTTTCTAAGTATTACACGGTAGAGCAAAATTATACTTTAATGGATATGTATCTGAATTAAATATTAAACACAGAGGGCAAAGCAAATTTAAGGAAGCTAACAATTTCTTCTATGAAAAAAGGTCCAATTACATAAAGAAGAAAGGATACTTTTATGTTTGTTTCCATTTAATTAAGCAGCTAGACAAGCTTTTTTAGTGTTTCATGGATAGAAGGGATGTTTAGGAAATACCTGGACTTTTGATTTTACAAATAAAAACTGAAAGTGCAAAGCAACTTAATGTCTGTCAAGCAGCAAGATAATGTTTTTCGTACTATATACTTTTCTCTCTTGTGTAAGTTTTATGTTCCCTTTCAACTAGGAGTTCTGAGAAAGATAACCTGTTGTCACAGTCTAGGAGAAAATATATCAATCTATCGTAACTCTAAGAGGCTGAATATCATTTATAACTACTTCACTTCAGGAGTACAAGTTGGAGATGATGACAACAGGATTCAATTATGTATCTTTACAGAGCATATAGCTGAAGTAGGAGGGACCTTTTTACCTTGTTTTTATTACTCAGGAATATGTGGTGATCCACTTTTCCAAACTGAAGTCCAACACTAAGTACACACTGAAGTCCATCTTCTGGTAAGTTATCAAGATGTACAAATTGACTGTAAATTTTATCTATATTTGCCTGTATTTTTTTTTTGAGACATCATAAAAAAAGAAAAACACAGGTTACCAGTAATCTAATTTCAGAGACAGATAATAGTGTCTCACAGAGTAAAAAATGTGAATGAAGATAAGGTAGTAAAATCTTAATTTTAGATCTGAACAGTAAAACAATATACTAAACAGGAAGTACAATCTTCCTTCTATCAACATAGTATTTTCCCAAAATACCCTTTGATAGAGTTTAATCTATTTGGCCACTTAATATAGCTGCAGTCTTTGGAAAATATTCCACATCAGGAGATACCATCACCCTTCATTTCTTATTTTTACCAAGAGAAGACCCACCCACCTGACATCATCATCACCTCAATGTTTTAAAGTTCTTAGGTTTCCTTAATTCCTAACAGGTAAACAAAACAGTCAACAAACAAATGTGCAAAAGCAATTAAATATGAAACTCACCTCTGGGTCACTTTCTTTAATCAAGGTTGCAAATATAGCTTCCTAAAGAACCAAAATAAAGGTTGAAGATGTAAGTTCTTCCTCATCCATATAAGTAATTAAGATTTATAATAAAGTGACCTATATAAATAAGCTTTAAGCACTACTTTACAAAATGAGTCAGCAGTTTTGTTCTTTCCAAATATCTTCTACTTTTCCTTAACAATTTACCTAACTCCCACTTACCCATTCACTTAATTCTTCCTCTTCCTCTAACAAATAATATTACATAGATGGCAATTTTGAACTGTGGAATTAGAGAGACCAAGAGTAACAAGACAAGAGATAAAAAGGTCAACTAACAGAAGACTTACAGTTACAAAAAACAAACATCTTATTAGACTGTGATTCTTAGAACTTTGTTATCTGACACTACTAACATATGTAAAACGCAGAAACTGTATATCATTAAAGTGATTTTCAATGGGAAAGCCTTTTGAAGTCACACACATCCCCACCTTCCTCTATAGATCCTAATAACAGTCTCATGTGTCTTAGCTGACAATAAATATTTGTAGGCAAACAGAAACAATAAGGGCTTTCTAAAGAGTTAAATCTGAACAGGTCTGTATTTTATGTAAATTTCATGGCTATGGAGACAGGTTTTGCTTAAGACAAAACTGAAAGGAGATGTAAAGTGAACTAAGCATAAATTTTAAAGCGTTTAAGATGCAATGGAAATGGAAAAAAGAAGGAACAAACTCCAGAAATGTATAGGAGTTGAAACAAGAAGACCTAGTCACTGAAGGTCCAAATTAGAGGAAAAAATTAACAATAAACTGGGATTCTAATTTAGATAACAGGTGGTAGTAAGATAAAAAGTGTGTTCGGCCCTCCCTGGTGGCGCAGCGGGTTAAAGTACAGCACTGAGAATCTAAAGCCGCTTCCGCATGAGTTCGATTCCCGCCTGCCCTGGAGTGGCAGACCTCTCCTGACCCGCCCACTGCTCCCCTCAGCAGTGTACTTCATCGATCTGCCTGTTCTGTTCCCGCTCTGTCTCTGGTGAAGCCTCTCACCGCCCCTGAGCCTCTGGCCTGTACCCTGGTTCTGTATGCACAAATAAATAAATCTTTAAAAAAAAAAAAAAGAAAAAGAAAAAAGTGTGTTCTCCAGAGATAGTTTTCTAACGTTTTTTTTCCATCCCAGCATATATGAGAAAAAGGATAAGATGGCAGCTAGTAGTGATGGGAAGCAGTTTTCTCAGTATCTGAGAGAAAACAAGTGACTTGAAGAAGAAAACAACTGACTAAAGAAAAGCTAATTTTAAAAATCTAGTAATATCTGAGTAAAAATGTTGGTAAGTCCATTACTTACCTCATCTTCTATGTTCATGTTTTCTGACGTCATACTTATTGAGAGTTGGTTTCCATCCATTGATATTGGGAAGCATGTATAAAAGTTTACCATAGAATCTGCGGATTTTCTATTTATTTCTATAAATGCCTTTTGAAAGAGAAATTATGAAAACAAAGTGAGTTACCTTTTTTAGAATGGACTTAACACTAAAGAGTCAAATGAGTTAACTAGTTTAATAAATATTGATGGAAAAATACACTCCTCAGAAAGGTGAAAGCAACAGACTCAGAATATTTCAATCACAGACAACAAATAAGAAATGGCTGAACTCATAAGGCAATGCTAAATAGAGAAATGACAGGGGACATTCTGCTAAACGACATTAAGGAAAATCATTTTTTTTAAATTCATCACTACACCTAAAGCAGTATCTACCATGTATGTAGCAGACATTTATTTATTTAGTAAATAGTTAACAATAAAATGAGAAATTAAAGAACAAACAAAATGTACAATTATTGTGAATTATTTTTCATTTTGTTGTTTTTACTGTAAAATTGTATGTAAAACTAGACATCTTGGTTTTACATACCTAGGTGTTAAGTAAGGAGGAACATTTTACCGTGTTTCAAGGCTAATGAAGTAGAAATCATCCATGTTTGTTTATAGCTGTAACTCTAAAAACAAATCATCTCTTTCTGGCATTCCAAATTTTTTACAGAATGTTTATTTTTTACAGCTGATGTTAATGTGAATCCTCTGGTTTCCAATCATACACAAATTTTCCATTTTTTTATGTTAATGTTAGGGTTGATATAATTTTCCACACCCCCACATTACACATAGTCAACTTGGATTTACTACTGGAAATAAGGGGTAGAGCTGACAGCCAGGTGAAACCCTGTAATGTAGAAGACAGGTGGACTTTTGGGGTCTCTGGCTTCGATTTGCACCCAGGGCTTTGAGGGAACATGGAAGAAGATATGTGGAGGAGAGTTAAGTAGCGACATTTGGAAGAGACACGTGTGAGACACACATGGGGAGGCCGACAATGGTAGCCATTCTCCTGATGTGTTATCTCCTTTTGCCCCAGCTCTTTGGGACCTACTTCAGAACACCAGTTTCTGTGGTTCCCTGCCAGAAAAGACCATCAACTTATAGCAAGCTCTTCAGCTGCAGCAGCCCTGTTTGGCTTGCGCCTCCCTTGACATAAGGTTAGGTTCCTGGTTTCCTTTGGTCAGACACTAACATTAATTTCATAAATGTTTAAAATGTTTATATGATTGAATCTGGCATTTTCCACACAATATCTGGAAAGTATTAAAATTCTATATACTTAATAATTATACTCACTCAAATCAAAACTGGGAGATGTGTAATTTCTTATTTGGATTTTATATTTATTTACCTATACATAATATATATACTATTCCTGGGAGGAAAGGACCCCTGAACAAACTCAACAAACAGGTTTTATAGATCCTAACCCTACCCCAGAACAAAGATATCCAAGACACACAGACTACAAATCCCATAATGTCCTCACCACCAAAGAGGATTGCTGGGAATTGAGGGTGAAGTAAAGCAGCCAGGTGTGGTGTTCAACCAGACATGTGGGCCTTGTGGCATGTGGTTCTTCACCAATTTTCAATGAGCTACTGGGGTTCCAGTTCAGTGGAACTGGTAGAACATATTCACAAATATATCTTTCTCTTTCTCCTTCTCCCTGAGTTATGTATTTCTACATTTCCCCCTTTTTTGTAAATAAACCCTTTATTAACCTTTGTGTGTGCCTGCAGTCTCATTGTAAGCTCCTTTTAAGGGCACAGGTGAGGACGCGGTCAGGACAACCCACTTGAAATTATCTGGTTTGCCCTGTAACACTATAATAGCATATAACAAAAAGTGTGACTATGAGTACTTGTTCCCAGATTCTTATAATTTATCCCATTTCAATATACTGTCACTTACAAAGAGTTGTAACTTTTATATGTAATATGAGTTACATATAGCTCACTTATACTAGCTTTCCTCTGCAACTATTTTCTTAAGCACACTGAACTGTGATTACCATGAAACATGTATTTCCTACTCTACTATCAAAAATCTCTACTAATCAGTCAGATTCCCTTCTAACACTTTACTGGTACTATTTTTTAATTTAAACTTTTAATTTAAATCTCATCTTCTTCTAGATACTTTCTATAAGCTGTTCATTATTAAAAAATATATTGTTTTTAAATTACTAAATACAGAAGTTTTAAATATACAAATAAACCCAGTTGTTCTCAATACTGATAATGAATCTGACTCTGAAAATGATTATTCCCTATTTGAGCATTACTGGTAAAACAGTAAAAACACTAGTGAAAAGATTTTAAATCATGTAAAAGACTATATTAAAATATGAAAGGTATAAACATTTTCTACTAAACTAAATTTTTAAGCAAAACTGATACGTTAGCCATTCCTCCCCATCAAAAAACATGAAATCAGAATAGCACTATCAGAGCTGTATTTTGTATTTTTAAAATTTCTCAGTTTGAAACAGCTTAATTTATTTTGAGCACCTGCTTTTCATCCTTTCTAGCTCTGTAAAGGGTTTTTCAGAATGTACTTGTCAACAACATGAACAAGCTATTAACAATTCACCTTTCTGAGAGGACCAAACCAAAGTAGTCTTTAAACTACCAAGTGGTTTTACTAATTTCTACACTTCTTCTAGAGAATATCCTTTATTAGGCAAATTAGAAATTAAGTACGATACACATTTCCTCTGTTTCCTTCAAAACAAATTTTAGAATTTACATTAAATTTTAACTGCTTTTATAATTACTTCAATATATGCTGTGTCATTTGCAATGTTAGGATTTAAATTGCTTTATTTGCATCAATTCAGAAGGCCAGTCTGAACTTCAAATTAAAAATAGAGCAAAATGCAAATTTCCTCTTTTCAAGTGTAGAATTTCACTGGTACCCTGTCATCAAAGTTAAGGTCTCTAGGTGTCCTTTTCAACCATAATTTAAAAACACAAGTTTGCCTGTTTCTGACAAATCCTTCCTTTCACATAGGGTTTTCCATTCTTTGTGAGGCTAACATTATCAAGCTTCAAATCAGTGTGTATCTTTTTTTCTTACTGAATAAAATGACAACTTTTTAGGCAACATAAAAAAAGCTTATTTGGGCCCTCCCTGGTGGTACAGCAGGTTAAAGCACAGCACTAAGAAACTAAAGCCACTTCCGCATGAGTTTGATCCCCATCCTGGAGGTGATCCACATGGCGTTGCAGACCTCTCCTGGCCTGCCCATTGCTCCCCTCAGCAGTGTACTTTGTCAGTTGGCCGTTCTGCTCCCTGCTTTGTCTCTGGTGAATCCTCTCATCACTCCTGCCCCTCTGGCCTGTATCCCAGTTCCATATGCATAAATAAATAAATCTTAAAAAAAAAAAAGTTTATCTTGGGGGATTATTATCCCAAAACCCAATCCCCACTACAAAGTCTATACTTCATTTCTGTCTTTTCTTCTCAGACCTAGTTTGTTTTTCAAAATGACTCACTCATCAATGACAAATTTTTCCTATATTGGACATTAGGGAAATCCCCTAATAAATTCAGCATCTTGTGACTTTTCTTTTGGAAAAAAGGCAAGAAGTTGTAATTTTCATACATTTTAACATCAATTCATAAAGACTCACTCAAGTTTTTAAATGAATCTAAAATATAATATTGGTGTTTTAAAATACACTCCAAAGTAAGACATGTTAATTAAATGTTAATGGCTCTACCAGTCACTAACTATGTTTAATGACCTGCACAACTTCAAGATCTTAGCTAGTAACATCTAAATTAATGGAATTTTAATATATTCTTATTGCTATAAAGACCACAAGGAAATAATAAAGTTAACTTTATGCCCAACAAATACAACTACAAAAATCACTAGCTCTCTGAAAAATATACTAAGAATTGAGTGGTATTGTAAATACTAACATATCTCCTTCCTATATGCCTCTCCAGGGGAAAAAAGAAAACAAATCACAAAATTCTACTGATTTAGACAACCTACTGCCTACTCAAAAACCTATTTTGGCCTACAATGATTTCAGTGAAAAGCATTCTTCAAAAACAACTACATGTATTAACCTGTTCTAAATTTTTGTGACTTACACTGCAACATTTAGTTTTTTAACTCAATGACATTTTAGAAGTCATAAATGACTGGGATTTTGTACCACGCTAAATTGTGACTGTTTTTTAATCGTGGGTTTATAATAAGAAAATTATTCTGTCAAAATCTCTTAAGCTTTAAAAAGTAAACTAACCTTATTGGGTCCTCCCTGGTGGCGCAGTGGCTTAAAGCACTGCACTAAGAAGCTGAAACCACTTCCGCATGAGTTCAATTCCCGTCTGCCCTGGAGGTGACCACATGGTGTGGCAGACCTCTCCTGACCCGCCCACTGCTCCCCTCAGCAGTGGACTTCGTTCTGCTCCCCACTCTGTCTCTGGTGAAGTCTTTTGCCACCCCTGAGTCTCTGGCCTGTACCCCAGTTCTGTATGCACAAATAAATAAATCTTTAAAAAAAAAAAAAAACTAACCTTATTAACTGGTTCATCTTCTGTGGTCTCCAAAGCAGCTTCTTAGAATACAAAACAAAAGAACTCATGCAAGTATATTTTATTAATCAAGATCCCACATTATTTCACAGTAGAAGACTGCTACGTGAAAATGTATATACAACTGACAAAAGATTAGAATGTAAGTAGGAAATAGCTACAGAATTAACACTGGCTTTTTTTTTTTCCTAGGCAGCATGAACCCCCAGGTATTCTATTTTATTATTTTTCTTTATTATTAACACTGGCTTTTAAACAACACAGCTATTCTACGTCTCCTAAGAACAAAACTTCATAATAACCAAAAAACAAAATAAAATTCTAAATCTTAATGTCCTTAATTTCACAGACACTAATATATATATATACAACACAAAATCACAGACCTTATTTTGTCAAAATTTTAATTTTCTATCTTCAAACACCAGAAAAAAATAAAATTTCTATTTACCTACCTGAAATCATTTCTTTAGCATTATTTTCAATGACTTTGCCTTCCACTCTGGTCTTTATTTCAGAGTTTCCTGTATGAAATAGGCAATTTTAATGGTACAGAAAATCACAATAATATAATTAAACTAATGAATCTAACAAACTTTATTTTAGTTCTCCATTTCAAGTCTCCTTATGCTGATTTGCTTTAAGTCAAAACTAATGTAAGTTTCACTTTGAAAAAAGAAACAATTCCTTTGAGGATTTTTAAGACACTGATTTCAAAATATACCTTGAATCTAGAAAATTATCAAGAGCGTGTGAAGGAAAACCATTAGATGATAGCATTTCAAGCTCACCTTGAATAAGTGTCATAATTTTATTGGTGTCTTTGTTTTTGACAATGCCAGCCTTTTTGACTTCCAAAGACTTCTTTCCACCAGACTTTGCTTTAAAAAGTAGAATTGAAACATTATTTTAGGAATCTGTTCAATCACTAAGCAGACTAGTAAATAAGGAGTTCAATTTGATTATAAAAGCAGTTCTTTTCCATTTATTATTATTTCTATTGATTTGCAATATTTTACCAATGAAATTAAAAGGCAGTAATTTTGTTAGTGGTCATTAATGAGTTGTAAGTTTAACCCTCTCAAGTGACAGAGGCAAATCATGTACAAGATTTTTTATAATTTCTGCAAAGTTCTTTAAAACCAGCCTATTGAGAAAACTTCAATAAGATAATGATTTAAGTTTCAGCATGCTATAGTTATTTAAAAGTGGGGGAAATGCAATCTTAGAACATGGAAAGGAATAATTTTCTTTAAGTACAAATCTGAGTTTATCAAAATGTTTCCTACACAAGAATGTTACTATCAAAGACCAAAATACCAAAAACTAAAAGTTCGTATGCATCAGATTTTAAATGCCAAAGAAATAATACTAAGCTTTTAAGGGCGTTGTTAAATACTAAAAAGTATATAATTTAAAACATATAAATCTTAAAGGCAGATGAGGATAAACTTAATTAAGAATTAAATATTAATGAGACCAACCATTAAAACCTCTTCTTCCCCATAGTATTTCTCACCTGTTTTGATTGAAGCTTTACTACCTTTAGCAGCTACTGTTACCACAGATTTTACAGAACCTGCTGACTTTCCTAAATCACAAAAGTCATAGTCAATACTGGTGTAATCACTTCTATTAACAATTCCCTTCCCCCTCCAAGAAAAATCATAAAAAGTCACAAACTATACTTTATTCAAAACATAAAAATATTATCATCATTGGAGGTATAGGCCATTTTATAAATATAGCAGTGATAATTTTTTCAGGAAGAAAAATAAGAAATCACCTCCCTGCCAAGGTACTTAAAAATAGCATTCAGGTAAGTTTAACAAATTCTAAATGGGTAGACCAATTACAATAAAATTATTAACTAAGACGACATCAAAACAATCTGGCAGTGCTTTCAGTAGTTCCAAAATCAGTTATACTTAGTGCTTCCCACCTCATACTTTCTTTGTTCTCACTTGACTGAAGAACGTCTGTATCATCAAGCTACATAAAGACTGACTCATTACTAGTTATACTGAGTGTTATCACACTTGTTACCAGTGAACCCTATCTTAATAGGACTATTTAAATTGACTGACCCTTTCTTGATACATGTGCATTGACTACTGCTGCTTATTTTCCAAGATGATGATGTTTACAAATATAAAGAGTGTGATCAACGAAGTGTCACTGAAAAGATCACCAGAGAGTCAAAATCCTTTCCATTCAGAGAGCAACAGGAAATTTAATTCAGAAAATTAGGATTCATAACTATTCAAGGTATCAATAGTAAGAAGAAAAACCCAGGATGAGATGTCAGAAGATCCAAGTTAAATTCCAGTACATTGTAAAGTCTTGGGCATTGATTTCTATGTACATTTCGCTGTTTATAAAAAGGTTGGAGACTGCTATTAAGACCAGTGGGAGAAATGGTCACATTTTTGAAAAGTGATCATACAAGTAAAGGTATTATTGATTGAAGACAAAAAAAAAAAATCTACTGAAATAGTTTTACAAATTTACCTTTTACCTAGCCAAAGACAAACCTCTACTCTGCTCAGAAAAAGCAATATCAATCCTTACTCCTAATTTTTGTCTCAGTAATCTAGCGCCATTAAGATATTTCTTTCACTAGCTGTAGTTACTACCACAAGTCAATTCACTTTGCTAGGTATCAGGAGCATATGAAAAAAATAAAAATAACTAGAATTAATTTCTAATAAGGGGTTTTAGTGACTCCCATAAACATAGTATCAATGTAAAATCAAAGTGTTTGCTAAATAAAGTGCATCTTAAAAGGTGAATTAATTCTGGTCAACTCTAATCGCCGCCCCCCCCCTCAGATTACTGCTTCTAAGAAATAACTATAGCAACAGTCTAGATCTCTCACTAAAATTCTGCCAATGCAAAGCTGCTTCCTTTCTATTCTAGTATCACAGGTAGTATAATTTAAAACACTGATCTTTATTCACTTTAAAAAATGACCCTGAATTAACCAACATTTAACAGAAATGGAAGGGAAAGTAGAGGATAAATTTAAAGGAAAGCGGAAAAATCAGTAATTTTAAAAACCTCTACAGCTCAGGAAAAAAAACAAGCTGCTAAGAGAACATAAATTTGCTGTAACATTTGTTACTTAGATTACTTTATAAAAGAAAGTAAACAAAGGGAAGACCTTAATACATGAGAAAAATAGCTCTAATACTCATCATGAGAAATGATATCCCATTTATATTAGATTCTTTTGATAATTACTACCAAGAATGATCGTTATCTACTAAATCTCGTGTCAAAATTTCTAGGTAACTCTCATTTTAAGGACTGAAAAACACAGAGCAGGTTCTGTAACACATGAAATCCAAGACTATTTTGAAAATAATTTATAGTTTAGAATCTTAATAAGAATATACCTGAAGATTTATTCAGTTTGGTTACAGTTGTCTTGGTCTGTCCAGTTTTGTCTAAAACAGCAAGAAACATATCATTAACAAATTACAGAACAGTGTCATTGCAGATAACCTGCAATGATTTTGAAAAGACACAAGAAAATCTCTATACTCATTTCTGCATGGATCACAGAAGTACAACTATAGGTAAATTTATGGATTTGCTCATACAAAAGACAGAGATTTTAAATTTTCAGTAAATATTATTAAATTATCCTCCTAAGGCTTGTACCAATTATAATTCCCATCAATAGTATATAAGTGGGGTCTCCATAATTCCACACACACGCACACAAAATGTCAGAAGTTATTGATAATCTAATCCCAGATTTTTTGTTTGTATATATATAAATAAAAGTATGTATATACAAATACTATGACATTAAAAAAGGAGACATCTACTTTAAGAATAATATCCTTCTCAGAATTTATTTTTCTCTATTGAATATGGTAGTCTGAATTAACAGATTCAGGCTTTGCGTTTCTGATATGACTCCCTTTCTTGCACATAGCACATCATTTATTTAATGTGTTTCCCAAAACTATATGCTAAACTTTCACTTAGAAAATTTATTCCAATATTTACAAGTAGAAATGTTCCATAGTTTTAATATTTTATTAGCATTTTAAAACATCTAACTTTTGAGATAATGTAAATGGACAAAAGGTGTAAGAAAAAAATAGGAAGTAAGGCAACATACCCTTAGCACAGATTTCCCTAACGACATATAATTGCACTACCACAAATGGGAAATTGACAATATGATCTGCCAACATCAAAAATTCCCCAATTTCATGTGCTATCATTCTGTATTTCTATGAAATTTTACCACACAGAGGTAAATTAGTATAACTACCACCAAATACAGAACAGTTCCATCACAAGGGTGTTTCCTGCTACCCATTTAATTAATAGCACCTTCCTTTTCTTTCTACAACCTCTGGCAACCACTAATCTAATCTCTATTTTATTATTTCAAGAAAGCTACACAAAATGAAACTATCTTTTTATATTGACTTTTTCCACTTTGCATAATTCCTTTGTAATCCAACTAAGTCGTCACATATACAAATAATTTGTACCTATATATGTTGAGTCATATTCTGTGCTATGCATATTTATCAATTTAACTATCTACCCACAAAAAGATATTTGGATTGGCTATTATCAATTTGGTTTGGGCTATTATCAATAAAGCAGAGTAAATACTCATTTACAAGTTTTTGTAAATGAGTATTTTCCCCTGGTATAAATGCCCTGGTATAAATGCCCAAGAGCCTAATTCCTGGGCCTTGTGGCAAGAACATGTTTTGTTTCATTTAAAAACTTTCATACTCTCAGTGGGGGGAGGGAAATGCACTGGACTTTGGTGATGGCACATGGGTGATTTGGTGTTGGGAAGCCCAAGGGGATTACAACTGAGATGGGAAAATGCACAAAATGATGTAAAAATAAACTATTTTTTAATTAAAAAAAAAAAACGTTCATACTCTTTTCCAGAACAACCAAACCATTTTAGTTTCCACCAGCCATAGACAAGTTTTTCCATATCCTCAGCAGCATTTGGTAATACAATTTTCTTATTTTAGCCATTCTAATAGGTGTGCAGTGTCTGTCAGTATTTGTTATCAGTATCCGCCTGTTTTCTTATTTCCTTTTCTCCATCCCATTTTAGAGAAAGTTGTTTTAATATTATGAGTAGAAACAGAACATCTTATTACTTCCATAAAGATGTGCTGGAACTCACATGTAGGAAGAACTAGTTGTAATTTTACTGGGGACATAGCTGATATAGGAAATTTTTCTGGTTCACTTCAGGGACAACAACAAAACTTGGTTTGAAATATTGCTGTATGCTTCCTCCTACAAATATTAATTCACTAATCCTTATATTTCACTAGATATAAAGAACATAAAAATAGAGCTACAAACATTTCCTAAACTAGTCAAAAAAATAAGAGATTGACTTGTATAAAACTAAGTGATTTACACAGAATTATTCCTAACTGCCCAGGCGACTCAGGGAAAGTATCACAATGAGATTTTCCCTCAAATGAGTCTTAAAGGCTAAAGTCAGGATTTTTCCAAACCAGCAACCCCAAAAGGAGTCTTAAGTAAAGTAAACCAGAAGTCAGATGATTACAAATGGCTAGCATAAATACTGAGATATGACAGCAAAACTAGGAAATAAACTGTTCTGAGTAGAAGGAACACAGAGAGTGACAAGAAACTGAAAAAGTAAACTGGGGCTAAAGGAAGCAATGCTGAAGAATCTGGGCTTAGTCCAACGGGTCACTAGGAATGAAATAATCAGATCTGCTTTAAAGAGATGTCAGAGCAACTGTGTGAATAATAGAGAATAGAATAAAAAAACACCAATCAAGAGGTTATCTTCAAAAATTTAAATGAGTCAGAATTAAGTTGTGGATGTGACTCATTAAGGTAGTATGAGGTAAATTCAATAAAGAAATAATTTCATCAACTAAATGGATAAAAAGAAGATGTTGCCTAAGTTTGAATGGATGTGACAGAAGAAAGGGTTAAGGAATTACCAATGGATTTCTATATCTAGGACTCTGCATTGTCAGATGATAGAAGAGAGTAGTAAACTTGAAGGGGTAGAGGGTATGAATGTATACATAAATTATTGCCTTTAAGCCAACCATAAAAGAAAAGTGTGATAATCAAAGAAAATAAACATGTAGGGAAACCATTGAAAGGAACAATGACAGAAAAAGCAAAGATTAAAATTTAGTCTTATACTTTACTCAGTGATTAAAGGTTATCACCAATAGATAGAGTGAAATTTAGCTACACTAAAATCTAAGTTCATGGTATTCCCAAATTCAAAGAAATCATTGCATTTTAATTTTCCTATCTTAGTCAACATTAGGACACTCTGCTAGTAAAATCCTTGAAATTTTAAATTTATGCTTTCAGCTCTTATATTCTAGTCAATAAAAAATTCTATATAATACAATTGAATTTTTCCCATCCCTTATTTTAATTCATCTTTTATACCAGGTACTAATCACCACAAATGAATCCCAACTATGTTTTCTCAATAGAATTTTTCAATCTCTCCATTTAGCCAATCTAAATGAGAATCCTAAACCACTTTATTCTTTGTGGTAATCTCACAGTTTGTATCAGTTATTACTAGATCTTACACAAAAATAATGTGACCCACCTTGACCAGGCTTAGGCAACATGGGATAAACAAAGGGAAGGTTTTTTTTTTCTTCCAGAAATTCACAAAGTGAGTGTTTTGTGAATTTTTATGGGGGTAGGGAAGATAAAAAGCTGTAACACGTATCTAAACTTTATCTGATCCAAAAACATGTTCCAGGAATTAACTTTCACATATGCAATTTTAGATGTATAATCAATGGGGTCAAATTAAAAAACTTCCCAGCATGACTTTCAAGGCTTTGTATTAAACTGATTCTTCAATTCTCTTTACCTTATTATATCTTCATGCTAATGGACACAAATATTTTGTCTCTATGTAATTATGCTTTCACACATTCACACTTAAAACCAAACTTGACTGTATTAAGATGCTACCCCTACTCACCTCTACTGATTTCCAATTACCTCAGTAACTATAAAACTAAATATTACAACAAAAGATTTTATACAACCCAATTTTCCATTAACTTATATATCAGTTTCAGAATAAAAATCTAGAACATCAAAACATAACTTAAATTCAGAATATCTTATGTCTATTTTACTTTAGCTTTTCTATGTATCCTTAACTATCAAGCTATTTATTTTTACTACTCTCAGAAGTACATGCTCTAGCTATAACTTCTTCCACCTTTCAATCCTAAACTGAAAAAAAAAAAAAAAAGATGACCCACTTTATTAAAATTGTGTGCAAACTTCGTTTAGCTAGAGTCATAGTTAAGACCTGAAGTGTTTTTTCAGGATGTAAAAGAAGCAACTTTTAGCACACAAGTCTAGTAACATCTGTTTGTTTAACTTCTTCTGTTTACTTTTTAATTCTGAGCAGATTTTTAAAACCAAGAGAAACCAAACAAATAAAACCTTAACATACCTATATGTTTTGTCCTATGGTTTACTGAAAGTGAACAACAGAAAGGAAAGTACTGCAAAATTAACTTGAACAACTATTTATATACATTATCTCATTGGGTAGTTACATTTATTATAGAAGTGATTCCATATTATCAGGCATTAACCACTAGCTTAATACAGGAGGCAACCTTAGTGCCTTCTACTAAAGAATAATGCATGTTTCCCTAGCATCATCGGGCAAGAAATTTTCCGTAAACTGACAAAATATACTCATTTAGAGAAGTATTAAAAGTAATAACTTACTAGCAGAAGCTGAAGTCACAGTTTCAACAGCTTTGGAAGCCTCTGTATCTTTTCTATTTAAAATAAGGAAAAATTTAGTAAAGGCTGAAATCTCAAGATCTAAAAAGCCTACAGATTAAAACTGAAGTCTAAAACAGTTTAAATAATTTAATGTGAACAATATCCAGTTTAAAACAGAGGGTAATAAAAATAAAAAGCAGTTTAAAAATTTGATATATACACATTTATTTTCACATATGAAATCATGGACTTACTTTAAAGTAGCAGCAGATGCTTTCTTTGAATCTGATATCTTTTTCTTTACTTCTTTGTTCTATGAAGGAAAAATATGTATGAAAATTTAGTTCCTTCTAGAACTATAATTTAGGAAATACAAGCATAAATACAATAAAAACACAGTAAAAATATAATTGCTTATATTTTTTCCATTTAAACCTGTGATCATACTTTTGCATCTCACTATCTTTTCAAATCATTACTTCAAAAGCACTAGAATATATTAGGTATCACCCTTGTCCAATCTACAACCATATCTTTTATTTGCCTACTACAGTAAGTTCATAAAAGCCTTTCTGACTCAGTACTTGTTTCTTTACCTACTCCAACTCTACTCTTAAAGTAAAGCCACCATGTTAATTTTACCATTCCTAGACCGAAAACCTCTTCATCAAGAAAAAAGGCCAATACTTACAATGGTCTATAAGAGTTTACATGTTTCAACCTCTCTTGACCCCAAACTACATAGCTCTTCCAATATTTCTCTATTTCCAATCCCAACCACACTTTATGCTCCTCAAACAAGTTATATAGGTGTGGATCTCAAGTCTTTTGCAGTTGCTGTCCCTTTTAAGAATACTCTCAATCCAGACTGCTGGCTCATCTCCTTCAAAGGTATACTCAGTATCATCTTCTTGATCAATTATCTATTGATTGGATAGGATTGTTTACCTATCTATTGTAAATAGTGCTGTTCCCAAAATTTCCCAATGGAAATTTTTCATTTCCATACAATCCTCTTTGATCTATTTTGTGAAACTTGCTGATAAACAATAAATTGAATTATTTTTAATCTATTTTTGTGGGGAGAGGGGGTTGCTGTTTGTTTTTATAGGTATTTAGCTGCAGCACTATTAATAGCTGCAAGTGTTTCATTTTTAGAAACCCGATGACAGTATTTTCTACACAAAGGGATCCTACCTCTTTAAGAAAAATTTTGTGACTATGGACATATGTGCACTGGAAAAAAGAATACTTTGCCTGAATATTAGAGTGGTGGTAAAGAGAGCAGCAACTCAATCTTTTTTATAATTAAGGTCTACGCTGGCAGATAAAGAATGATAAGATAAAACTGAGTTCCTGTCAGAGTTATACAAACCCATATTTTAACCCTTCAAGGTTTAATACAGGGATATGTGATTTTTTTTTTCCATTTTATTTTTTAACCTCTTCTGTAACAGACAAGCAGCAGCAAAATGGAGAAAATGTTCTGTGAGTCACAGAAAGTTGTCCTAACATGAAACATCAAATGCAGGTAGAAAAGTTTCTAAAGTTTGACTGCTCAGGCCAAAATTAAGATTTGGACCAAGAAAGTGTTAACACAGCCCTTCTTTTTCCTAGTTTGGGCTTCTATCCTGTTCTGGCAGGTAACTTGTTACCCCTGTGGTAACAGGCCAAAAAAGACTCTATTGCCAATCTGAAGAACCCACAACGACCAGAGGTCCGTAGTGTACACCCTCCAGTCAATCCACTGGCCTGCTCTTCTCCCAACAGAAGTCACGAGTTCATCTTCTAAAGTGGCTCCTCAGTACCATCCAAACTATATTCACATGAAAAACACTACTGTCTTTGACAGGTGGATGGCATGCTTTTAGTTTCCAGGGCTACTATTTTTCCCTGTTCATTACCATGAAAGTCAGTACAGCAAACACGGTAATACTCTCAGGCTTATGTAGCCTGCATTATCAACCTTATCTAAATGGTATACACAAGAATCATTTACATTTGTTTAAAATACTCGAGTAGCCTAATATATCCTAATTCACCTACTTTCCCAGAGTGTTTTTCAGAACTAAAGAAAATAGTTCTTCAGCAGAGTTAACAATTCTCTTGTCATTCTCACTGTTTAATTCTCCTTTCTACTCTCAGGTTTATTAACCCGACCAAAACAATTACTATTATCCTAACAGGCTGGCTGACTAGATCAGTTTCCTAACTGGACTTCAGTGGCCTTTTTTCTTTTCTCATTCAGTCAATCTCCTAAGCTTATCATTTGCCTGACAGATATATTCTGCAGGTAACTTCCAAATGAGTATTTTCAACCTATCCATTTTATTACATCACACTAAGGTTCAAAACCTTGAATAATATTTAACTGCTTTCAGGATAAAATTTAAATTCTTAAATTATGCATTCAAATTTCTGTTTCTTTTTATCATCTGCAACTAGAGGTGACTGTATTGGTAAATCAAATGTAAATGAAAGTTGCTAGGGAACTCATTATTCAGGAGGGAAAAAAATAAAAATCTATGATGTTCTCAATTTTTATTCCTCCCTTTCTGCTTGGAAGATAGAAATGACAAGAGATGGTACAGCAACCACATTAAACTGCGAATGAAAACATGGCCCAAGAATGTTAATAAACACGATAGAGCTGAAAAATAAGATTGTGCTTCTGAAGATATTATGCAGTTGCTGCACCAGTCACGGGCCACCTACCTGCAGATTTCTTGTTATGAAATCAGTAAGCCTCTCACTCTTTAATGAAAAACTGGTGAAGGTGTTATTTGAAAGTGAAAGAAATTCTAAATGATAAAATTAGTAACTAGGCTTACCATATTAATTAACTCATTATTCCCAAATTAGGACAGTGGCATGTAACAGGTGTAAATTAGGATGATAGGCTACTCGAGTGTGGTTAATTAGAAAACAAAAGGAAAAAATAAAAATACTTTCTCTAATAACAATGCAAATAATTATGATATATACTAGTAAATATAAATTAAATACAAACTTAACACACCCTCCAAAATGTACATGAAAAAAAAATACTTAAAACTTGCTAAAAACACTAAAGAAATCAATAAATGGCGATAAAGGCAAGCTTTTAGAAAATATTACTGTTGTAAAAACATCAATACAAATACAATTCAACTTCCATTGAAATCCCAATAAGAAGCATTCAAGTTTCCTAAAGTCAAAAATGTGTAAAAGAGCTAAGACAGATTCCTGAATCACTACTTCCCTCAGGAATTCTGAGAATAAACACCAAGAGGGAGCAGACACATCTAGAATGGGAATGAATTAGTGAGAATCAACTTCTCAGCAAGGAGGAAAGTCAGAAATCCTTAGTAAAGGAATGAAATACTGACAAGCAGTAAGTCAGGAAGACACCATGGTTCATTGTGACAACATAGTCTGTTCCACATTTTCTGCAGGGCACTTTTAACATTAAGTTTCAAAAGACTGGGGGCATCCTTTCCTCCTCCTAACCTGTGCCCACAGGGTGTAATCAAAAACTATAGGAAACCACAGGGCTTCCTGGTAGCCAGGGTACTGTTTCAGCAGTGGTACTGGCCTCCCTTCCACAATATGCTCTCTTGGCTTTTCCTTAAGCTTCCAACTTGATGTAGCTAGAGATTACAGAATTCCATGGGCAGTTAATCTACCACAAAGGAGTCAAAGTGTTTACAATGGAGAAAAGAAAGTCTTTAACATATTGGGAAAACTGGACAGTCACATGAAAAAGAATGAAACTAGATCATCATCTCATATAAAAAATTCAAAATAGATTAAAGATAAGGATTTAGGCCAAAAACTATAAAAGTACATTGAGGAAAATATGTGAAACACTCCACAAAACTGGTTTCATTAATGCCTTTGGGGTTCTCAAATGGCAAAAAGGCAAATACATGTAGAAACAACCGGGATTACATCAAAATAAAAAACTTCTGCACAGCAAAAAAAAAGAAAAAAGAAAAGGGAAAAAAAATCATTAAAAACAAAAAGACTTCGGCCCTCCCTGGTGGCGCAGCGGGTTAAAGCACAGCACTGAGAACCTAAAGCCGCTTCCACATGAGTTCGATTCCCGTCTGCCACGGAGGTGACCACATGGCGTGACAGACCTCTCCTGACCTGCCCGCTGCTCCCCTCAGCAGTGTACTTTGTCCATCTGCCTGTTCTGCTCCCCGCTCTGTCTCTGGTGAAGCCTCTCACCACCCCTGAGCCTCTGGCCTGTACCCCAGTTCTGTATGCAAAAATAAATCAATCTTAAAAAAAAAAAAAAAGACTTCCTTCTGAATGGGAGAAAGTATTTGCACATTAATACATCTGACAAAGGGCTGATACCCGAAATATATACAGAATTCATATGATTCAACAAAAATAAGACAACCCAGACAAAAAGTGGGCAAAAGAACTAAATTGATACTTCTCCAAAGACATATAACTGGCTAACAGGCACAAAAAAGTGCTCATCATCACTTTTCAAGGAAATGCAAATCAAAACCACTATGAGATATCATCTCACACCTCTGAGAATGTCCCACATCAAAAAAGACCAGAAACAACAAATGTCAGTGTACATGTAGAGAAAAAGAAACCCTTATACACTGCTGCTGGGAATGTAGGCTGATCCAACCTCTACAGAATAGAATGTGGGGGTTTCTCAAAAGATTAAAAATGGAGTTACCACGACCCAGCAATTCCACTCATAAGTATCTACGCAAAGAATATATGTACTCCCGTATTCATTGTAGCCCTAATTACAACAGCTAAGTTATAGAAATAGACTATGTGCCTGGGATAAAGAAGTAATCAGAAAAAAAGTTGTGTGTGCACACAGGAATACTATTCAGCTGTAAAGAAGGATGAACTCTTGCCATTTCCAACAACATGGATGGAAGTGGAGCAGATAATGCCAAGCAAAATAAGTCAGAAGAAGAAACAAAAATATCAGATGGTCTGAGTCAATAGAGAAACAAAACTTAAAGGATCAGTGAAAATCAAACCAACAATAAACTCTTTCACAATTTATGCAAAACTGAGATAACCAGAGAGGAGGATAGTAGAATGGGAGTAGGGGAGGCGTGGAGACCAATGGAACACTATTGAAAGAATACTGGGCACTGGTGGGCAGGGTGTGAAAATCTACATTTGTAGAGGCTTAAACCTTAACACCCAAAACAGATACAACAATGTGAACAGATAATTTATCTCAACAAACATAATGTGGGAAAAAAATTTTAAATAAAACCCCAATGAGATTTTTAAGAGAACTTTCACTGAATCTGAAACAGCAGTGTTTGATAAAACAAAACAAATTTAAGAAGGAAAAAATTCTACTAGTAAAGTGGCAAATTTTACAAAATTATAATTGAAACCTCACAGTAATGACACAAGAACAGATTGATGCAATAGAAGAACCTAGCACAAATCTATCTATTTAAGATAATTTAAACAAAGATAGTTTTTCAGGTCAACAAGGAAGAAAACAATATTGGCTAAATGGTTGCCCAAATTGGAAACAATCTATACGACAAATTATAGATTGAGGTTTTCATACTTTAAAAAAAGAAGAAGAAAGAAAAATGGCAATGGGAGAAAAAAAAATTGAAACACTGAAACTTTATATATATATATATACATAAAATCAATAAACTAGAATTCATCTCATAAATAATACAAAATAAGTCTCTAGAATAAACAATAACTTTGGCCCAATGTTTTAAAAAGACAACTCAATAGAAAAATGGGGAAAAAATACAAACTATCCACTAAAGTGGCACAATGTATTAAAGCGCAGAACTATGAAGCTATCAGCAGCCACTGAAGTGTAAGCTCCATCCCTGGCCAGGGAGGTGACCCAGCAAACCTCTCCTGTTTTTCTAGCTGCTTCCTTCAGCAGTATGTTTCAGCTGATATGCTTGTTCTATTCCCCACTGTCTCTGGTGAATCCTCTCACCCTCCACACCTCTAGCCTGTATCCCAGTTTTTGCATGCATAAATAAGTAAATCTTTAAAAAATAAAGTAGTACTAGTAACAGAAATAGTTAATAATGTTAACATAACTACAATATGCTGAACTTTAATAGTAATCAGGAAAATGCAAATTAAAATGAAATATCACTTTTTATATATTAGATTTTTAAATGGAAAATAAATAAGATGCTATTGACTGCAGTATATTCACATAAATTATCAAGACTGTGAATTATTACAACCACTTATTTGGTGGGCAATCTAGAATTACCACTTACTGTAAGTCCTATAAGCCAGCAATTCCATTTCTGGCTTAACAAACACTACCATAAATCCATAATGAAAGCTATATATATAAAAGGGAAGACTACTAAAGTCAACTTTGTAGAAGTGAAAGAATACACATAGTCTAGTTATCAAACCACAAGTTACTAATATAATTAACTAAAATACAACATAGTAAACCATGAAGAAGTAAAAAAATGAGAAAAATCTGTATGTACTAATGTGGCTGGATGTCCACATCAAATTCTTAATTGAAAAATGTGTGCAAAAGTACCTATGAAGCTGGCATTCTTCTGCAAATAAATAATACACACCAAAAATTGGGTATTTAAGTAATTCTAAAGATATTAATATATAAACTAAAACATAGAAAATGATGTAGAAAGACTAAACACATAAACACTAATACTTTTAAGAAAGCAAGAGACCCCCAAAATTAATGTATTTGAAGATTAAGTTTTACATAAAGTTCAAAGTGGATAAAACTTAACTATGAATATTAGAAATCAAGTTAGGGATTACTTTTGTGGCAAAAGGATAGTATAAGGATTCCAAAATATGCAAAAGACTTCCAACATGTCAATGTTCTAGTTTGTGACCTAAGTAGAAGTTTCAGAAATGTTTGATAATTTTGTTAAATATTTTTTCCTAGTTCACCACTACCCTATATTTAATACTGTTCATGCTTTATGTTTACATATAATGAAGTTGTTAATTTCAGTATACTTAAATTTATACATTGCAATCAAGTGCCTGAACGTTCTTATTTTATACATTTTTCTATATACACTATGCTTTAAAACATCAAACTAAACATCAACATCAACATAAATTTACATTTAAGACTTAAAACTTAAACCCAGTTTACCTGTGTTTTTTTCTTTCCTGGAAAAGATATTTTCACAGTTTTCCCTTTTATAAGAATAGGTGTTGTTTCAAAGTACTTCATGACTGCAGTAACTGTCTCTTTAAATTCCATTTCTATGTAAGCCTAAGACGAAATGTAGTCCATTATTAGTAAAAATCTAATTTAAAATTCTCTGCCTGACTTAATACTTCTTTGTGGAACATAAAACTAAAATTTCCTTAAATCCTGGCTGTTATTCCTGCTTTCTGTTTGTTTTTGTTAAAGTATAATTTGATCTTCAGAATGTTTTCACAAATGGACACTTTGCTCAACAGAATTTCTATAGTAAGTCCATAGCAGGCTCATGGACAGTAAGAAAGTGAATGGGAGGATTTGATGGACAGAGAAGACAGGACCTGGTCTAGATGCTCCAACTATGACATCTTCTTTTCCGCCGCCCCTCCTCCTCCCACTCCAACATTTTCAAGTATGTTTGCAAAGAAGAAAAACACAGACAACTATCTACCCTAGTCCTATCTCACAATTTAAAGTTCTGCTTAGTCAAAAGTTGTTGATAGTTTTAGTAACCTCTAATATAATCCACATGTCAAAAAAACAAGTCACTATACAAATGAAATCATTTATTCTAGTATAACTTTATTGTGCTAAAGCAGTGGCTGACAACCTACAAATTACCACCTGCTTTTGTAAAACAGGAGATAGCCATACTCATTCATTTACATATTATCTATGGTTGCTTTTGTTTTATAATGACAGAGTTGAATTACTGAAATCCTATGGCAGCAAAGCCTAAAATACTATCTGGTGCTTTGCAGAGAAAGCATACCAACCCCTGCTATAAAGAATGTAAAACAGAGGCTTCTAGGGAAGCTGTTCATTCAAGTCTAAACATTTATATAATTCTCCACTGACAACTCTCTATGTAGCAAAAACAGCTAAAAGACCCACAACAGATTTTAAAGCAGCAGCATTCTATGCATTTTTAATATAGACTGGATGACTCACCTCCTTTCTATATGGAACAATAAGGACATCTTTAATTTTTCCAGATGGTTGAAACAGTTTTCTAATCTCTTCTTCAGTACAGCCATCCTCTGGTAATTCAGATATAAGAACAACTGAACTATAATGCAAAGACTGATCTTTCCGAAGCTGTTTTTGAAAAGAGACAATTTAAAACAAACCAAAATTAAACCACAATGTACAATATAAGTACTTTCTAATATAATTTCTTCTATCATTAATCTTACCCCATCAGGTACTCTTTTCTACGTTATTTTAGCACAATTAAGAGAAATACACTTTATATTTACCATTCAAATCCAACAATTGTTGTGTTCATAGGTAACCAATACAGATATTCTTTTCTGACTAGAAGTATCTTATAATAAAAAGAATCTATAAAATCTATTAAGGAGTATTTAATCTTATTTTTCCTATTAATCTGCACAATCCATGATTAGGTAAAGCCAAATTACATCAGTGTTCAATTTGTTCTAATGGAGTATGCTACCTAGCTAGGTGTTAATATTTTACAAGATACAGATGTAATAAAATTCAAATGCACTAATAAAAAATTTCCCATCTATGTGAAAAATTGACTTAAGAAACTTAAAGCTTTTCACTATCACCACTTAGAAATTTTAAAAAACAAAAGAAGGATACAGATTCATTCCATCTAAAATTTTCCCAGTACAACATTTCTTCCCAGTATGATTCAAAATTCTACAATTACAGCTTGATTATTTTAGGTTTATACTTCTAAATATAATCCTTGTAGGGCAAGAATCTGGCATTGTTCAAAGTATTTATATAATATACCTTAACACTTGAAACCTTATTAGTATTACAACACACTACGCATTTGATGATCTAGCATATTACTGACATTCTGAGTATGTTTTATGCATTTCTTTACTATAGTAGTAATTTGATATATGCAATAAAAAAATACCTAGCATTATAACAAGAAATTTACATCATATAAACCAAATATATCAGTACCCAGAAAAAACACAATTCTACCTAGAAAGTAGATTATTACACAACAGAGTATTTTACTTCTGAACTATACTCCCAAAAGTATAAAACAAATTGAAAATGACCAATTCTCAGTAGACACACTCAAAAGTTTATTAGAAAAGATCACTAGTAATGCTGGTGCTGGTGATTTCGCTCACTTCCCCAATTCATAACAATCTATGATCAGATATTCAAAAACACTAAGCCATCAAAATGTTCTCACTTTTGATACATCAATATGACAGCCCTTCACAATTGTCAGTTACTGTATGTTTAAAATATCCATAGGAAAAACCAATAAAATATTCCATTATCAACATAATTTAACAAGTCACTACTCAAATATTTTAAAAAAAGAAAACGAAAAGATTCAGACAACTCAGTTTTCTCTTTGTGACAACAACAAACATATGCATAGACATACACCAATAAACAGAGAATTACTGACCTTACGCTGGAGAGAAACAGTTTTATCAGAAACCTGTTTAGATTCTGGTAACGTGTCGTCTTCAACATTCTTAGATTTGTAACGTGTAGAATGTCCTAAATTTGTATCATTCTTGGTAGAGGTTGTTGATTTAACTGATGTTTTTGATCCACTACCAGTTTTAGGCTTTAGTGCTACTAAGTTTCCTTTATCAACTGCTTCAATATGCTTCTGTTTATTGGATTCTGACCCATGCCCAGATCGTTGTATTACATCTTCTAAAGCTTTTTTTCTATCTAGTAAAAAGGATATAAACACAACTTCAAATGAAAAGAATTTAAGTTAACAATGATCTCATATCATTAACAAAAATAAAAATTCCTCAATTGCAAAATACTCACCACAGAACCATTTTCTGGGCAAACAGCATCTGTACGTGTACACACACACATGCACGCACAACTTATTTTTAGTTCAAATAGCATCTGTACGTACACACACACACACGTACACACACACACCTATCTTTAGTTCTTCACTCTAAAAACTTTTACATCAAATTCAGTAAAGTTCTCTTACACCAGTGGTCCCCAAACCTATGGTTTCAGTATCCTTTTACGTTCTTAAAAATTGAGGGATCAGGGCCCACCCTGGTGGCGTGGCAGGTTAAAGCACAGCACTGAGAAGCTAAAGCCACTGCAGCATGAATTCGATCCCCGGCCCCAGAGGTGATCCACATGGCATGGCAGACCTCTCCTGACCCACCCATTGCTTCCCTTAGCAGTGTATTTCAGTAAATCTGCCTGTTCTGTTCCCCACTCTGTCTCTGGTGAATCCTCTCACCGCCCCTGCACTTCCGGCCGGTACCCCAGCTCTGTATGCATAAATAAATAAATAAATAAATCTTAAAAAAAAAATTGAGGGATCAAAAGAGCTTCTTTGTGTTAAATTTATCAACATTTACCACACAGGAAATAAAAACAGAATCTTAAAGTATATGTATTAATTTACTTAACAAACCTATGTTTACATAGATTGTATTTTATGAAAAAGTTTAGTTGCCAAAACAAAAAGAAAATTAGTTTTATGAACAGCAGTACTGTGTATTTTTCCAAACATTTTACTATTAGATTTAAAAATGGATATCTGAATTCTCTTCTCTGCCCTTGATCTAATCGCCTGGAAGCATTTTGGTTGTAATATAAAAAAGAAAATCTACCTTCACAGAAATAATAGTTGGATGCTGCTTTATTTACAATTGGAAAGACATGGAAACAACCCAAATGCCCAAAAGAAATATAGTTGGAAAAGGAAAGAACTTGTAGACCTCTGAAAAGATCAGAGAATATATATAGTATGTGTAAAAACAATTTCTGGAGAAGCCACTAAACCAGTATTAAAGCACAGGTTAAAAACAATAATTTCAAAAATATTTTAAATTCGTTCCCTGAAGATCATATCTATTATCAGTTATGAAGGCAAAGCACTGTGCTTAACCATACTTGGTTTTAAAATTTGACATCACATTTCATGATGTTGTATGAGTACTCCCTCAAAGTAAGGGGAAGAAAAATACATGAGGTTGGAACAAGGGTCAGATTTCCCAGAGCAGTTCTAAAATGTGATCAAATAGACTATTTCATTTCTTTAAAAACTTCAAAATAGGGCCTCTCTGATGGCACAAGGGATTAAGTCTCAGCACTATGAAGCTATCTATCAGCGGCCACTGCAGCACAAGTTTGCTCCCCAGCCAGGGAACTGACCCATATGGCACAGCAGACCTCTCCTGCCTTGTTTGCTGCTCCCCTCAACAGTGTATTTCAGTAGATCTGCCTGTTCTGTTACCCATTTTGTCCCTGGTGAAGCTTCTCCTCTCCCCACCCCACACTTCTGAACTATACTCCAGCTCTTTTATGCATAAATAAATCTTTAAAGAAATTTGAAAAATATTTCAAATACCCTAAAAATATTTCAACAAAAATACCCTAAAAAATATTTAGTTAAAATAAGTAGACTTATTCATGACCATAAGTATACCTGATGATCGCACAGGTTTCCGTAACGTTCTTTCAGGGCTAACTGATCGGTAGCATTTTGGACTACCTCTATACAAATTTCTCATTCGATATGGTGAACGGGATCTAGATCTGTATCTAGAAATGAAACGATGGCAAATTCTAGGGCTTCGACTTCTTGGTCTATATATATAACGCATTGGGCTTCGAGATCGATGCAATCTGTGACTTGAGCTTGATCTCCTGGAAGGTCTAGGACTGGGGGAATGAGAACGTCTTCTTGGAGTTTCATTTTCTTTCCTATTGCCTTCATTTCTACAAGGTACAAAATACATCCACATTCAGCACTTCCATGTAAAGTTAAATTACATGACCTTCTCAAAAACAGACTATCTATAATACCAAACTCTGATGCCATACATTTACTTAAAGCCTATTTTGTTATGATGCAATTCAGTCTTGTAGATAAATAAGAAACAATCAGGATAGATAATCTACTTCAATAAATTTTCTCTGTCTACTAATTTACAAAAGAATATTATCAACTTATTGGATTTTTCTGTTTCACAATTATATTTTCAAAGTATTGTTATCTAAAGAATTTAGAAATGACTTACAAAAACCAATGTTTTACAAGTTTTCACTGAAAGATTTTGTTATCTACAAATATTTTTCTGTCTGCTGTTTTCTTATATATGTGTATGTGTACACACACACACACACAAAACCACACATACACAAAAGCATACATGCAGTGAAGGGACCCATCCTCCACCCCAACAAAGGATGCAAAGCATCATTCCTAATATTCTGGGCATTTACTACCTATCTCACAAACATCAAATAATAAAAGCATAAGGAATTTTCAGAAAAGACACAAAATAGTAGTACAGAGAGGTGAGTTACTACATTTAAGGGGGGTAGTTAAAGAAAGATTCATAGAGGTTGTTGTTGGATTTGCCTGGTTGTCTGAAAGTAAAAATGGTGAACACAGGGTTCAATTCAAAACAATACCTTTTTTAAGTAGTTGTTTATTTTGAAAGTACAGTTCAATAATATCATAAAAAAAACTAACTACCTTCTTGATGGGAGGATCTCAGGATTCCAATCAGGATACCTATGTTGAGAATAAATGATATTAATGAACCATTAAATAAGATTCTGTGGATTAATTAATTTTGCTTTGGAGGGAAAAGGTTTGCTCAAAACTTAAATATATATAATGACTTAAAAGTATACTAAGGGCCCTCCCTGGTAGCGCAGTGAGTTAAAACACAGCACAAAGAAGCTTAAGCCACTTCCGCATGAGTTCGATCCACGCTTGCCCTGGAGGAGATCCACATGGCGCGGCAGACTTCTCCTGACCCGCCCGCTGCTCCCCTCAGCAGTGTACTTCGTCAATCTGCCTGTTCTGCTCCCTACTCTGTCTCTGGTGGATCCTCTCACCCTCCACATCTCTGGCCTGTACCCCAGTTCTATACGAATAAGTAAATAAATCTTTAAAAAAAAAAAGTATATTAAAATGTAGAAATTTTCTTGGATGCAAAATATTGAATATAGAATTCAACAACAAAGATATTATATGCTAATAGGCAATTCAGTTAATACCAATGCATTCCATATAAAAGCCTTAAAATTTATTTATATAAGACAAACTGTGCACATAAGATGTATTATACAGAAAGTATAAGATAAACGCTTAGGTAGTAGTTTTAAGAGGAAAGACAATTCACCCACTTTGCAGAACTATAGGAACACCATTCTCCAGAATACTATGTTGAACAGTGCCCTTACATTGTACCAAGTGGTCTGCAAAGTGACACACATATAGTGAAAGAAGTCCAGAGAGAAATCACCCAAAAGGCTGCTCTTCAGGTAGTTCTAATAAAAGCCATTAATTGGCATATATCACATTAGATTAAAGGAAGTCATATGATATATTACAGGAAGTAATCTAGATGCACCACAAAAGGAATCATAACAAATTATTAGGGAGAAAAACTTGGGAAGGTAACAGGGACAAATATCTATAATTAGATAAAGCACGGTGCACATAAATAAAATGGAGAATTACCAGACATTTCTGAAGCAAGGAGATCACATAAATGTTCTCAGAACAAGTGGATAAAGTTATCTGGAATTAGGGGAAAGGATGGGAACTGATATATCTAGAAATTAGGCATGCAGAGCCTCTAAGTGCCAGTCAGACTAACAGAATTGAGTTTGTAGAAAAAAAGAGTTAAGGAATGACTCTTACGTACACTGACACTTTGAATAAAGCAAACAAAAATGAATCAATGAAAGAAATTAAGAGGAAATCACTGAAAAAAATAGGAGGAATAGTAACATAAAAACTTAAGGAGGGCCCTCCTTGGTGGTACAGTGGGTTAAAGCACAGCACTAAGAAGCTAAAGCCACTTTAGCTTGAGTTCCATCTCCGCCCTGGAGGTGATCCACATGGCTCAGCAGACCTCGCCTGACCCACCCACTGCTCCCCTCAGCAGTGTACTTTGTCAATCTGACTGTTCTGCTCCCCGCTCTGTCTCTGGTGAGTCCTCTCACTTTTCTAGAGAATCAGAATTTTAAAAGTTAGTTGGAAATAGTAAATAAATTAAATCAATAAATTCCAAATATTCAAGAATTAAAGAAAAAAAGGTGATCCATGTAAGAAAATGGCAGGAAAATAAAGATAGGTCAATACCTTAGTAAAGGTAATGTGTTTTGTTGTTGTTGCTATTTGTATCGAAAGACATAACGGGTTAATTCAACTGCAATTTTCTCAATTTCCTTTTCCCTTGTCTATCTCTATTATAACAAGAAAAATAGATATTTGCTTCCCTAGTCTTATTAGAAGATAGCCAGTGATAAATTCTAACAAATGAGACATGTGCAAAACCACTGGCACACTTCTGAAAAAGCTTATGGCCCTTTCTTCCTGCTTTGAAAGCAGATAAAATGCCCAGAGCATCTTCTAACTATGTAACTATAAAGTAACCAACTATGAAGAATTCAATATTTCATCACCTATCATCAAAGACTGCAGACACAGGCATACATTGTGTCACCTACTTTCACATTTTCAAAATGTTACACTGCACCATCTAAGAAGATCAATTTCTATTTTTTTTTTTGGTATAGTATTTAAAAATAAAATCTTCAGAATCAAAGTTGGATATAAGTAGATGTGTTGCTTTCCCAATGGTCTTGTATCTTAATGTCATTTACCTAATATGCATAAGCCTTAGCTTTCTCAAATGCACAATGCTGGAAATATAGTTGGCTACTAATATACAGAAGTTTTAACTTCAAAGCTTTCAGTTTATGGATTCACAAAAGCTCTGAGGACTATTATTTAAGAGTTGTTAATGTTTTAGGTCTTTACAGACCTAGTCTAGTTTGAAGACTAGAATACATGTTCTTGTCTCTGCTGCCAGAGCAGTAAGATAAAGCATGTATATACTATTCTGCAAGTAGAATGTGGACCACATGTATACAGCCTCAACAGTTTAAAGTGGGTTTCAAAAGTATGACCTTCCTTATAGTAGGCAATATAAAAAAATGTCTAAGGATGAGGATCCAAGTAGTTGACATTACCTGTCCCTGATAGTAGTAATATATCACTTTAGAGTTTAAGTGACAAATTGTTTAGCCTGAATTTAATGAGAAACAAAGTAATACAGAATATGGGTCACTCTATTAGATAACTTTCCCGGACTTTTCAAAAGAAGTCAACATCATGAAAAATCCTTCAGACCTCAACTCTCCATTCCTTAAAATTAAGGAAGGTATTGTTTTACAGTAAAAGAAACTGCAGTGCATGAGTCTTGATTTGAACCGTAAATTGGGTGTGGGAGGGGTAAATATGGGTAACAGAGTTATAAATGGCATTTGGAGAAAAAAGATTATTTTGGAAACAAGTGGGAAATTTTGAACTTGGTCTATACAAAAGGCACAAAATTTTTAATCTTCATGAGCATCTTATACTGTAGTTATAGTATTTACCATTGTAGAAAAATGTCCCTACTCTTTAGGCGATAGATGTTGAGTGAGGATCATAATGTCTATATTTTATTTTCAAATAGTTCAGATATATATGTATATAAAGATAAAATAATGTGGCAAATGATAACAATAGTGAATAAAGATAAATAATATATAAATACTAATTCTTCAACTTTTTATACCTTAGAAATTTTTTAACATAAAATGTTGAGGGAGGAAATTAGGGAGTTATACACATGAGCTAGACAGACTAGTTTTGCCAATTATTTGCTGTATACCAAAAAGTAAGTTTTCAATGCCTCAGTTTCCTTACTGGTAAAATCATGAATAATCATTATACATATTTCACAGGATTGCTTTGAAGATTAAGTAAATTATGTAAAGCACTTAAATAATGCCCAGCACACAATAATCAAATAGCTATTATTATTTATTATTTTTAATACTAAAACTCTCAGACACTGTATCTTTTCTCTAGTGAACCAATTACACTGGTGTCAGAATCTAAAAAGACCCAATAAAGACAAAGAGGGAAGTGACTTATGGAAAAGAATGATTACTTAAGTAAATATCAGAGTATAGCAATACAATGGAATACCATGCAACTTAAAAACTAAAACAAAGCACAGCATACATTCTGCCACAAAAGAATCCCAAACACCCTAATCAATCTAATTTTTATTTTTTTCTTGGTAATGGAGAGCATGCCATGAAGGTGTTCTTCAATAACACACAACCTGAAAAGAGGTCAAAAGATAGGGTAGAGAGAGAGTAAAGAAGTAGTAGGCATTGAAATCATGGTCCTATCAACATGTACAAAGAGGGGAAAAAAAAGGTTTACCTTTAATAGCATACATGTCATTTGGTCTAATAATCAATAGCCGTGCATGTAGCTAAGAAATCTCTTTGTATCAATGACTACCTACAGCAAGTAACTCACTCCTACCTAAAACCTTCCCTTTATGAAAATTATATATCCAACTGATTACCTGTGGAAAAATATTGTAGTTTAGGAGAGATTTTCCATTTACAGTAGCCATAAGGTCTATCTGAATGCCGATAATAAATTACCTACATATAACACTTGTCTCCACAGTATCTATATAGGTAAGTGATTCCAACCTCTATTTCTCAATCTATGTGTTTCAGGTACAACTGTTTTATCACCCTTAATTGCAGGCACAGACACATAACACCAATGTAGACAAACTACCCTACTCCCAGAGCCATTATAATTGGTTCAGAGATGGACAACTAACCCAAATAAATGAAAACAAACCAAGAATATCTGCAGGAGTTATGAAGACGAGGCGCACTTAAACAAAACAAGCTCCTGAAAATACCAAATCCAGAACAGGTTCAGAACTGTGGGTCATTCTGCTTCATAGAGGAAGTACGCCTGGGATGCCATAAGACCAAAGCAGAAAACAGCCCCCGCCCCCCAAAATATATATATATATATTTGTTTCAGTATTCAATTTAGATACCAGAACCACACCTTATGCCCTCCAGTTAAATGAGATTAAATAAATTCCCTTACTTTACAGTTACTTTGAGTTATGTTTATTACTTATGACAAAAGAATACTGGCTAATCTCAAAAAATATGTTTTCATAAAGAATAAAACCTAAACAAAACAACTGCCACAAATCTCTTTGCCCAAGTATATATTCTATCATTCTAGCCACCAGGAACTAGTCACCAAACTGCATCAGTCAGTTTAACGATACTCAAGGGGAAACAACTTAACTTTATATTACCTAAGAAATATGAGAATAGTTATTAAAAATCATACTTTTCACCTTCATAGGGTCCATTTCTTAAAGGAGAGATGGAAGAACTGAAGAATCAATACTGAGGAACCAACACATCTACTTAGTTTAGCTCCTACTTACGACTGATTCTGAAAATACATTCTAAGCCAGAGCTGCCTCCTGAAATTAAACACTGCCATTTGGTCTGCATTGGCTTTTAGTTATTTATCCTTGAGAAATCTTTAATTACTGGGAGGTAGGTGGTAAGAGAAGGAAACAAAGTCTATTCTAAATAGGTAAACCATTCAAAAGAAGGCAAGTGAGCAAGGAATAAATAATATTGCTAGAATTAAATTAGGAAGGAATCAAAAGAACAGGTGACATTTAATTTTCTTCTTTTGGGAAAAGATTAAATATGTATTGATAAATTAGTATTTCAAATAGACAATGATATCCTAAAAATATTCCTCTTCACTGAAGATTATTTAAAAATACCCATACCTAAACAACTATCTTGTAAATCTGCCATCTATAAAAAAAGAAAATATTGTTCTTACTGTTGACGTAACTGTCGACAGCTCTCAATATGAGTGGATGTGTTTTGATGCTGAATCCAATCCTATTGTAAAAGGAGAAAAGTACCAAAATTAGAATACTCTTCATGGTGACTAACAAAGTTTTAAAAAATGACACAGCATACCTTTGTTTTAAAAAATTAAGCAAATGCAGTGATAATTAGCATTTAGCACTCCATAAAATTTTCACAAACAAAAATAACAGACCTCCAACAAGCTTACTCACAAAGCTTCTAAACAAATGTACTAAATACCATACCTCACCGATTCATTTTAAAATAATGAGTACTAACAAAACTAAAAAAACCATATCCATGGACACTCATTTTTGAAGTCAAATATATACATGAATTTAAAGAAAACAAAAGCCAGGATCAGAAATAACCCACCTTAAACATAAAAACACTACAAATAAAATGGTTTCTGATATAGCATCTCCAAATAAAAGGTCCCAATGACTTACACCTCTAAAACCCAAACTACCAGGATTATTGACTACCTCTTAGGATAGTGCCACTCAAACGAGGTACTCATGGTATTATTGGCAAAAAAAATAAGCAAAAATTGTGAAAAACTGCTGCTGGTCAAATCTAATTTATTTTCAAAATTTAAGGGAAAGTAACACCATTTCAATAATACAATATCCCTTACATTTACAATGAACAAAATGCTTTCTTATACATTACTTCATTAACAAATCTGCCCTAGTCACATTTTATAACCCATAAATAGCTCCTGGAAGATACATCTGATAACAACAAAAAAGGCAATACAATTTTCAAGGATACAGTCCCCCAAGGAAAACAGTTAAAAGCATCAGATATATTTCTGTTTTATTGTCAGTCCAGCATTTCAATAGAAAGAAAACTTTACTCAACAGCTCTGTATTTCAAAACTTTCCTTGAAAAAATTGTCATTTCATTTCAAAAACATTTCAATTTGTTATAGCTAATGAGGAACTGTACGAATCCATAATTAAAATCACAGTTAAACACTAATTTTTAAATTTTGCCTTGTCAAGAACTATCTGAAATTAAGTACATGCTACCTGCAAGACTGGGAAACAAATTATGACAAATCCTAAATAAACTATTTCATTAAGACAGGAAAGTGATTGTAGATTGCAATAAAGAAATGTCTGTACATCCTGTTCAGTGATACAAATAAAAAGTTAGGAGAGACTAGCAATTTAAGAGCCCCAGTTACTGCAAAAATCATGTTTTTGACATTAATTGAACATTGTTTATATGAAAGAGACACACTGGCAGATAGTGGATTGGGCATGAAAATTTATTTTTAATAAGTTGTCATCATTGAAACACCCAGATTTTACCCCTCAATCCGGAACCCCAGTTGTTCTTGAAAAACTAAGTATCATTAGACTGAACAAGTATTTTATGTATCAACTATCAGTTCTCATGGCTGCCCTAGTTAAGGCATTTTCTCCAGTTTTGAGCACACTCTCACATAAATGCACATACTATTATCTTTTAACAGGTCCACTTGACTTGTAAACCTATACCACTACAAATTCTAGACTCTCTAGTAAAAGTATCTAGTTTAGATGAAGTCCTAAAATCAGTAGTCTGCCTCTCCAGGAAAAAAGTGATAATCACCTATCAAGCAAATGCAAGAACTACAGCCTCAAATGAGCCCAGAATCGATGTGTGAAAATACCTACCCACAAACAGAGCACACCCTCCATCTTCCGACTACCTCAAAAATGTTTTATGTCAGTCAGTACTTTCTCAATTATTTCTGAATTATTTCAGTCAGAAAGGCCTCTGACTGACTCTGAAACCAGGGATAGCTCCTCCTAATATTAGAAAAGAAACACTTTCATTCTATTGTTGCCTTTTTGAAAGACTTGTTTTTTTAAAGATTCAGAAGCAGGTACATGTAGGGTATTTCTTAGCAAGAAAAAATAACACCTAGTAATTTACATTTATTGACTACATGATAATGTCACATATGTGTGCAAACTTTCAAAGCAGTAAGAGAATATCACAGAAACAAGAGAGGTTGTATGGTCTCAGTCCAGGTTCACAAATCCTTATCATTTGGTCGTGTGAGTCAAGAATTCATTAGTTAGGTGTATTCTGCTGTTCTAACTGTTAAAAGAGTTTCTCTGTTTGAAATGACAATTTCTGAATTTGAATGATCACTAAATGATTTATTTTTCTCACTAATTTGTAATCATATTAACTCAGACTAACCATCAGGATAGTTAAATTTGACAAGTCTCAAATTAGGTGCCTTAATATACCAACTTCCCATTCCTATTCACTGTACACAACCCGATTTTTCTTATAAATACCCTTGAATATATCACTTCACATTTATCAAGAAACTTAATTAACTTACTAGTGCCTCTTATCTCAAGTGTGAACTTCGTAGCTTTGTTTCTCAAAGTCCTTCATACTTATTTTTAATATGCTCACATCACCTCCCACCTCAACATGATGTAGTCTTTGCTCAGGGATTTTGCCTCCCTGCAAGTTGTTGCTGCCTTCTAGATGTCAGACCCCCTCCCTTAAGTGTATCTAAAATCTCCTCACCATTCAATACACTTCAATACATCTTCACATCTTCAATTTAGTCCAGTAAGTACTCCCACTCCATTTTAGTCCAAATAGATCGACAGTCACTATCACTCACTCAATCATACCTAACTAAACTACTGAAGTCTTTTAATGTCAGAGTATATTTACAATTTTTTTAAATCACACACTGCTAAATTCAATCGTGTTGGTAAATTGATAGTATTGGTCTAAACTAATAAAGTTTGAAATCAAGATAGAAACATTAAATACCTTTCCCACAAACAAGTTAAATGCAATCAACAAACCATGTTTCCTCTAATTAAAAAAAAATCATCAGGTATTCATTATCTCTTTAACTATTATGTGTAAACTGCTTAAAATCAACATCTAAATTTTATCTATTTGTCCATTTCACTCCAAAGCCCAATATAGTCAATATTGGCAATCAGTAAATACCTAATGAATAAATTTCTACTCTACAGCATAAAAATTAAAACTTTCAATTATTTAAGACACTTTTCTTAGATTCATCATGACTAACTTAAAGTTCCAAATGAAAAAGTATGTGGTATGCTCAGTCACAAGAATACAGAGTATAACAATTCAATTCAGTACTTGGGCCAGACCTACGTAAAACAGATTATAGTTACATGAATTATATGCTACATGAATTATTCTGAAATATTTCAAGACTTTGCTACCCTCTTTGATCAGGCATGACAACTGTAAATTCTTTAGAACTCAGCAAATCTGGATATGAGACTTTCCTTTGCTAGAATGCAACCTTAAGATAAAGCCATCAATTCTAAGATAACAGATTCTTGTTGGCTAAAATGTGGTAGAGTGGGTAAAAGAAATGACAATAAAAGGGTGGGAGTGTTAGGAAAAAACAAAAGCATTAATACCTATAGATTTTTAAGCCTATACAAGCAATACTATGGCCTTGAATCAAAGCTTGTTCCCATGGGAGGGACATTTCCTTCTTGAACACTTATAAATCTTGAAATCACATTAAGTAGAAGAAACAGGAGTTTTAAAATGTTTGAAAATTCCTACTTAAATTCACCCTTTATTACAATTAAAGAGCATATTCTACATACTTGCAGCTCTGTAAAATACTTCTAAGTATATTAACAATGCAAGCAGCTAAGTTTCCTTTATTTTTCCCTCTAAATGGCTATCATTTTACATTCTAAGCCCACACAGCTGGTCCCAAAATGATTCATCTTGACTGAATGTTGATACATATTATTTTAGGAAGTTCCTTCCCACAAAATACTAAAAATCCTACTACAGATAGCATCAGAAAATAGTTATGTCAACATTAACTGTCTTTAGTCCAATATAGGTAGCTATGTGCAAGGCTACAAATACTCTCTCTCAAAAATATGCAAAACAAAATATTTTATTTCAACTTTTATATTATTTTACCCACAGATTCTCTTATTTAGATAAAGGTGATTTATGCAGCATTGTCTTGTAAGTACACAGTTTATATATATTTATTTTTGCATAAATTCTGAGGTAACTAATCAAATGTTCAAAATAAATGGACAACCACATGGTATGCCCAGTCACAAGAACACAAAAAATCTAACACTCAACTCAGTGCTTAGGCCAAGGCTACTTATTACAACTAAGTGTTGATGGTGCAATCAGAATTAATTTGTCATTTCTTTAATGCCTAGTTAACATCAAGCATACACATCAGAATTCAGAGGAAACTTGGGCGCTGAGCATCATTATACAGTGATCTTTAAAAACACTCACCTTCAAATGACTACATTCTACGTTACACAGAGAACACAAATGTGGAAATATTCTTGGAGATGCTGCATAATAATCATTCATCATAGAAGGTGTTGGAAGTCTCTTCATCTTCTGGGCATCAGCATGTGAAAACTTTGGTAGCCATGATGCTTTCACAATCCCAAAGGGAGACTGAATGGGAATGTCAGCCTCTGACTGGTAATTCTTTTTACTTCCTCCTGATGGTCCATGTACATTAGATGAATTAATCACAGGTTCGTGGGGGATTCGTTCTTGTTGGCTTACAGCTGAAATTAAGTCTGATGAAAAAGGTTGCTGGTTCATAGAGGAAGGAATCAGAGACTGGTTCATTGTCTGGTTAACTGATTGGCTAACAGATTTTACAGGTTCAAGGACTGACTGTCCTCCTGAAATGTGTAAGCCTGACATCTTGGTTCCACTCTCAACTGAGAAAAAAGATTGATTATTGGAGGACTCACTGGGGAAATCCAACGGTCGAAACACATCTTCCACAGGAAACATAGAATTACATATCACATTTGGAGCTGGAACAGATGCAGAAATGCTCTGCTGTGACCGAAATTCATTCTTGACCTCATCAGTTGGAATTTCAGGATCATAAATACGTACTTCAAGTGGATCTTCTGTGTAGCCATATTTGCTTGCATGCCCATAATCAATCACATTACTTGAAACTGCCTCACTACCAAGCGTTTCTTTATTTCTGCTCTGAGAAGGTAAATTAGGTAATCGACGCCCCATTTTTCTCATTCTTATATCCCTTAAAATTAATGGCATGTTTTCAGGTGTTAGCTGTTCATCAGGATAACGACTAAGTTCTTCTAAGTCTTCATTAGATAATCCAAAACTTGCTAAGATACTTGAGGCACTCTCTTTTGTATAGCGGCTCTGCACTTTAGGACTCTGCTCTGTAACCTGTGTTATAGAACTCTGTTTCACTCCCACTGATGCAGATAAATGAGGCTCATCATCCCACCGGCTACCATGAGGCTTCCCCTTCTTTTGTTGTGCTTCATGAAAATCCAATTTTTCTTTGGTCAATCTTGGATCAGTTCGGTGTTGAGTTACCTGAACATTCATTCTCTGTGGTCCCATGTTCTGATAAGATTCATGGCCAGCAAATCTGTGTGGAATGCCACGGGCTCTCCCTGCTGGGTAGAATCTTGGAAGACCCATAGATCCAGGCCTCATAAATGGTCCTGGAGGCCTCATCCCAGAAGGGTTAGGTGCTCGTGGCCTCTGAAGTGGAAAGTTCCCTCGAGGATTAAACCTGGGTCTCGACATGGCTATTTTCAAGAAAGCCTGATTTAATAAGGTATAAGGTGGTGCTGAACTATGTGAGGCAACGGCATTCAGCTGCTGAAGCGCCAACTGAGTCTTAATCTGAGCAAAGTGCAAAGGAGATGGGCCCAACAGAAGTGGGTTTGCAATGCCCAGGTTCAAGGAATTCACAAGTGGTGCGAAATTTTCCAAGAATAACACAAAGCTGAAAGTTAAAACACAAATATTAGATCATTTTAACTCAAACTACTTCATGAAGTGGGTTCTATCAGCCAGTGTAAAACATTTGAAACAAAGCCATGAAACCATTCTGCATTTCACATTTAGAGTAAGCGCTTATGAGGATTTTAAACTTCCCCCAAAACTCTCTTCTTTTCTGAATCCAGAACACAAACCCCAAATCTCAAGGCAGAGTTCATGTACAGTGTGCTGGGTGCTGTCCTAGGTGCTGAATGCAATTACAACTTTTAAGTAATCTTGAAAAACACTGTAGATTTATTTCACGCTTTAATACTGGAAAAAAAGATGAAGATATTAAAATACTTAGAAATGTGCACACACTTATGTGTATTATCAGATGTACAAATAATAAAAATTAAAACCGTAAGCCTAAAATTTCAAAAGCTCCATTTTCCAAGACAGTATTCTTTGAATTACAGATGACAACTATGATTACGTTTGTTATTAAACAACTATTTAATGATGAAAACCTGTCAACAACAACTGACTACTCACAAAGCAATGTGAAATAGCATGGAACTTGTAACATACAACATTATATGTAACAAAACCAGTCACCCCTCTCTTAAGATTCTCTCCACAGGAGAAGAAAAACAATTATGCATGGATAGTGATGATTAACTTTACAGAGCGTTGTCCATGTGGCAGAGAACTACTCTGAGCATTTTACATGAACTTATTAATTTAATTCTGCCAACAATCCTCTGAGGTAAATAAATTTTTACAGAGGACATGAAGGACTGTGTCTTAAGGATAAGTTACTCATTTTAACTCCATAATCCATGCCCTTAACCACTAAAGGATTTGAAAATACCTTGCAGCTCTCAGGTAGTTTATTAGTTCTAACGGGTTGGTATCTGGACTATCGGAGTGTAATATAACACATTCTGACCCACTTCTTAGAGAAAGAGTTCTTGAGCAGGACTTAGTTCAGGAACAAGATCAGCAGCCACAAAATTTTGCCCAACTGCTAACAGTTTAAAAAAAAAAAAAGAAAGAAAGAAACAAACAAAACAGCATGCCTAGTCTCTTAGGTATCCATTTTAACACCCAAAAGAAATGCAGGGTGCGAATCATGAAGTCTTGAGGCATCCACATCTACTATGGAAATCCACACTGCGTTCTATTTGATAATCCTCATTTTCTAGTTTAAACTACAATTTTTCTTCTATATATGTTAATGAAAGGTTAATTTTGTTGATAAATGGGCTTTATCTGAAAATTTGCAACTCCAGGAGCACACATGTTGTTTCTTCCCCATAATAAAATAAAAAAGGAACAGATTTCAGTCAGTCATCTAATTACCACATGGAGTTGTGAATAAGTTACCAGTTGGAGATATCTACATTTTAAGTCCCAGAACTTACATATGTATTTCCTAATGTACCTCACCTGCCTTACCTCATACTAGTTATAGAATTCTAGAGCAGCACTTTACCAACCATGCTCTGCAGAAATTAATGGTCTGTACGATAGTACATCTTCTATGAAGGAATTCTCTGGTCAAAAAAGAGGGGTACAGGCCCTCCCTGGTGGCGCAACAGATTAGGATGCAGCACTGCAAGGGAGCAGCAGCCGCTTCAGTGCAAGTTCAATCCCAGCCCCAGAGGTGATCCACATGGCGTGGCAGACCTCTTCTGACCCACCCACTGCTCCCCTCAGCAGTGTACTCTGTCATTCTGCCTGTTCTGCTCCCCAGTCTCTCTGGTGAAGACTCTCACCCCCTGCAACTCTGGTCTGTACCCCAACTCTGTACGAATAAATAAATCTTTTAAAAGAGAGAGAGAGAGAAAGAGAGCCCTCCTTGGTGGCGCTGCAGTTAAAGCACTAAAGGACAAAAGCCACTTCCGCATGAGTTCAATCCCTGCCTGCCCAGGAGGTGACCACATGGCAGGGAAGACCTCTCCTGACCCGCCTGCTGCTCCCCTCAGAAGTGTACTTTGACGATCTACCTGTTCTGCTTCCCACTCTGTCTCTGGTGAAGCCTCTCACCACCCTGCACCTCTGGCCTGTACCCCAGTTCTGTATGCATAGATATACATCTTTAAAAAAAAAAGGGGGGGTTTCAAATGCCTCCTGCACATTAGATTCTGAGATACCCTTTTATAAAATAAAATTTAAAAAAAACCAACCTCTTTATTCTTTTTCATTCTGTACTTCCAAAAGTTAAGTTTTTTCTTCACGTGTATTGCAGGGGAGATAGCTGAAGTATTTAGTAATTGGTAAGCAAGCAATGAGCAATCAGAATAGTAACCTGTCTTCAAAGTGTATAAGCAGTGTTCTGTATCCCTCCTTCCTCTATCCTTCTTAGTTTTTAGTTGCTGCAGAATATCCTCATAGAGGTCATACATTAGCAGTCTTCAGGGAGGGACTGCACGAGTTGGAAAAATGGGAATCTACCCTTGGGGCAGTGGGTACTTTTTAATAGGACAAATTTATTTCCATATTTTAACAACTGCCTATCTGTACCAATGTGCGGTCACTGATTATAAGTCTGAAAAGACACCAATCTTTCACAGAACAATCTGGAATAAACATGGAGAAGAATTAACACACCTTTTCCAAATGAAAGAACTGTAACTATCAATAAGCGGGGGGGGGGGGGGGGGTGTTTTAATAAAAAAAAAAATCACACTAGTTCTATGTTTAGTTTCATTACAAAATCTAATATACTAAATGAGGACAAAGTATTAAGTTAACCATTGTTAACTTAATTTGGCTCTCCCAAATCTCTCTCTCCCTTCTCTAAGAAAAGTTGAAAACCTGTTTAGTCATATTTTATTAAGCACTCTGACTACAGAACCTACTAGTCAGAAGAAAATTTCCCTCTTCACACACATATTCTGGGAAAGCCACCATTAACAAGCAAATGTCACTCATTAGATCTGTTCTGCCAACTTCCTTTCTAAAAATAAGTTTTTTAATCCTCACAAATTTAAATCAGTAATTCTCCTAACCTTTATTCCAACAGTCCTTCCCAATTTCAGACTTTCAAGTATTTATTTCACTGTTTGTACTCAGTAACATTTTCAGATAGTAATTCACTAATAAAATCAGCAAAAAACCTTCAAATGCTACCTATACTTTCGAAACTTGGTAGAAAAGTTCTGACAACTAGTTTGAAACATTAAAAAAAGAATTTGATACTTTCCTGTAAATGTTTAGCAGCTCCAGTTCTATTCACACCTCAATGAAATATTTGAAGTGAAAAGCATAAAACACAGTGTTTGGCATTGGTAAGAACTGACAAATACATTTTTTAAAAAGTTTATCTACATGTTATATACCAAATGACTTATCTTCATTGGTTTAAATAATGTTTAATAATCTTGTACTTTCTTTGTTAATGAAATCAGTTGTCACATTTCACTTGCATAATTTTCATTTTTAAAATATAATATATATTTTTAATCATTTAGGGAAATTACTGTTTGCTCCTCTTAGTTATCATTTCCATTCACTCCAAATAAAATGTTTTAACTGAAAGAAAGCTTGCAATCATATTTCAAGCTTTCTATTTGTACGCACTTACAAACTTTTCCTTCACAATTATATAATTCTGTAGTCTTATTTCTTCAAATGTAATTTAAAGGCAAACAAATTCTACCATCTTTCTTTCCTTATTATGTAATTTTCAACTTAACTATCAGTCTTATCAGTGATGCCCCCAAGTAAAAGTACTTAATGAAGATATTAACGTCAATAGTTCAGGAATTTATACCTTCTCAATCTACTTGGGGAATAAAATACCAAAATTATTTATCAAGTCCTTCCAGCCATGTTAAGAAAATAACTTAAATGGACAGTTTTTTCAGTAAAATAAGGAGGGGAACTTGCATAGTCACAGGTGGGCAGGAGAGCATCCTATCATTTAATAACAATTTTTAACAATTTTATTTTAAATCCAGTTATTATTCATCCATCTAACAAATAACTGACATTGCCTTTCTTGGGAAAGCAGCAAGCTTACTAAACCAGAACAGAACCGTTCTTTCACAGTGCTAATAACAGTTTTTAAGATGGAGCTGTGATTGTGTAAGAATCAGAGAAACCAAAATAGTTAAAAATCTCTTCAAAGTTTCCCCTTTCACATCACTGCAATTAAAAGGGTTTGCAGAAACTCCAAGAAATAAAGATTTACAGGGACTGCAAACTGGCTGAATTAACCATGGTCCATCCGTATTTCAGAGCTGTAGAAAGTGATTTTACATCCCCAAAGGATATATACTCTAAGGATAAAATAAGATAGGACACCCTAGTGGATTAAAAAAACTGTTTCAAGTTGTATTTATTTTTTAAGTAAGATTATGGACAGAAAATAAATACGTGTTAAAGATAATATGACTAAAAAACAAAATTATGTATATAAATGTAAAAACTGATACCATCACCTATGTTTAAAATCAAACTGGTTTCAAATCCCCAAGCAGGAAATGCAATCCTAGGTACTTCAAATCTGCTATGAGAAGTCATTCACTAATTTGACAATAATTTATAAATATTGCTACTATCACAGAATTTATACAACCAAGGTAACAATAAACAAGAATACTAACAACAAAGGCTTATTATAGTAGATATAACTCTTGTTTATTATCATAAAAGAACATCCCATTTTATGGAAAATTTTTGTAATAGCTGAAAAAGCTTCATCCTTTACATTTTAACATGAATGTTTTTAAAACAAATTACTTCCCAATATGTGTTTCTAAATAAGTATTTGTAATTTTTTTTTCCAGATGCACAGCACAGTAATATGTAGTACTGAAAGGCTATATTTGGAAGCACACAGAAAATAAAGATCATTTGAGCTGGACAGGAGCTTAAAATTTTGGAGACAGAATACAAGTCCAAACAAGAAGGCAGACCAATACTCCATGAAAGTGTTTTTGTTTACTTTTGCTTTGCAGGAAACAGTAAATACAAACTAGAACAATCCATCCTCCAATTAAAAAAAAAAAAAAA